CACAAGATTATTGTCCACTTTGTCGCAAAAGGATCAAATTTCTTTTGAAAATATTTATTGCATAGACTCGACTTACATGTTTGTACAAATATAAAACTAATATATTTAAAATGAAATATAACCATTTTCGTTTACTTCATGCAATTTACAACTCTTAATTTTAATATTTCACATATACACTTAACATAAATTCTAACCGATGTAAACGGTTTACGCAACGATGCGACAATCATGATGGGCTATGGTATTAATCCCATCAGCTAAAATGTATCTCTTTGAATCAAAGCAATGGAGTGCAACTTTCGAAAAGTTTCCAGAATAGAGTTTGTGATGCCGTGAACGAATCAGATTCATTCTGCATACCAATTTCTTTTGTTTGAATAGCACTGATTTAAATCGTTTATGATTAATGTACTTATCAACTATTTGTTTCTTGACACCTTTCATTGCTTTCTTTCTTATACCTTTTCCAAGAAAGGAATACATCTTCGGCGCAACACCTACGAAACTCTCTAGAACATTTCCTTTTGCTTCATCTGTCATCTTCCCTATAACTTTCTTGTTGACGTTCGAATAAAGAAAGTGTGATTGGTCATAATTACTAAAATCAAACTCGTCAGCGTGCTCAGCCAAGTCCTCGTACAAATCTTCAGTGGTCATTGAATATGCTAATGAATCAGTATCTGTAAACAAGAATTTCGCTCTTTCCCCGAACCACTCGCCAATTTTATCATAGTGCCACTCATACATAAAGAGTTTACTTAAGTCGAGTACCGTGAAGGCAATATACAACGGCTTATTTAATTTCACCACTGCGCGGTCAAGAAAAGTTATGACGAGGTCAGGACTTAAAATTTGATAATTTTTGAAATTCGAATGTCTAGTCAACTTCTTCATCTGCTCTAGGTTACTCACAATTCTAACATCTTCTCGATTTCGTACTTGTTCTGCGGATTTCCCGAAAATGCTATTTACAATAAATTTGAACAGATTTTGTTCAAAAATGGTTCGTGCTTGTTGACGCAAAGAACCGTTAAATAAGACATAATTTTTCAACCATGCAGATTGACTGAACTTAATTGCACTGTGTACTTTTTCTAAAGTCATTCCTTTCTTTAAATAATATTTTAAATTCCTATAATGAACAGCGTACCTTTTACGAGGGCCCAAATGCGGTACGAGCTTAGGTTGCTTCTCGGAATAAGTCATATTATAATGCGAAATAAGGTCTGTCTGATATGAAGAAAGTAGCTTACTGTTTACACAAATTTTCTCGGGGGCAAGCGGGTACTCTGAATGTTTGGGGTGCAATGCCGACCCGTACCCTAGGTCCACAACTAAAATTCGCCCGATATTATCTTCATCGCCCCATTTTAAAATTTCTTCCGTTGTCAAATTCTGAACGAACTCTGCGTCTTCCCATTCAAAATCTCCTGTGGGCAAATGCTGAAGAAGAGCTTCCCCGTACAAATTGTTCTTGTCAATGTAAAAAAGATAATTGTCTCCATCTTTTATTTTTCCGCTTTTTCGTATATACTTATTCCTCGCCGAAGCATATCGCGTCGAAATCATTGAAACACCACCGCGGAGTCCTAATTCTATAGTATTATACATGGCAGAATCGATAAACAAATCTAAAACCTGTTTCGTATTTAATAATGCAGCATCCCATGAATACCCTGCTAGCGAATAATAGTGAACAGGATCTAGTTTATAATGTGTCAAGGGAACCTCACGAAATTTCTCGAAAACACAAGCCAACAACAAAGTATCGGTCATTAAATAGAGATCATGATAATCCCCTAAATCCGAGCAATATGATTTGAAAATATGTTTACCGTACTTGTAATCAACATCTGAAACGCCCGAACTTGCCAATGAATTGTAAAAGTCGGATTTTTTGGGAAACTTTTTTTTGATCAAACTTTTTCCACTTATCCATATATTCATACATATAAATTCCTTTTCTGGACATCTCTTCCGAAAATCCGAAAATCTGTATTAATGGTTTGAAGTCTTGCTCAAAATTATTTCCCAACAACAAGTCATTCGTCAGAGTATCCAGCGAGGCTGTGAGGAAGAGAAACGAATCCAGAAAAACGTAATTCTCACAGAGCAACGCCATATACTTTTCAGAATTAGACGGAATCACTTTCACTTCTTTCGCAGACAGTTTTCTGACGTAACTAAGCAGTAAGTGCGAATCATAGCTCCTAAAATTGTGCATTAAAACCGGTATTCTATCTTTTTGACGGTATTTGGCATTACATTGACGATGCACTGCCCCCCTAAAGCGTCCAGTTTCATGTGAATGGTCCTTTACTTTATCCTCCTGGAGAACATTTTCACAAATGTGACAAATATTACTCTCTTCATACAATGTTTGCTCTTCTAATGTAAGATTTCTCATGGGCACCTTGTTTAAATTCAAACTATTTAGTTGATCGCAAATTTCATCAAGCTCTTTTACGAATATTTCCATGCAATCCTTTCCACGATATAACGATTTATAAATCACTTCATCGTTTGAGACAACTACAAAACAATAACCGCTCGGAACATGTTTAGCGTACTGCCGTATTTTTCCTCTTCTTCGCTTTACTTTCATACAGAGAGCCTCAAAATCCGAATAAATGACAAACCTAGATTTTAACTTATTTTCAAACTTTTTAAATCGACAAACAGGCTCCTCGCGTAAATCATAGGGATCTGGCATGCAAACGCGTTGCTTCTTGAAACAAAAACAAAGTTCTTCGTGTTTATTTAAGCGAGCTTGACTTGGAAATAGAGAAAGGCAATTATAACACAGTAATCGCTTATGATGATTTTTAGAACCGTAAAGTTTTTCAATTCCATTTATGTACATAAAATGTCCTGGATTATTTGCACAGGTTTGAACGTAAAGTAGGTTAACAATTTTCCGTTTTTTATCTCGGATGTGCATACTTTGGTATTTAATATTTAGCTTCCCTCGATCATCGAACCCGAATACATTTACAGCGAACATCTTCTCAGCGTTTCGACTTTCAAATGTTTTGATATTCTGCTGTGTTGTAGGAAACTCAATGCATTTCCAATCATAATTATTTACAAATTTTTCGTACTGTCTGATCCTTGCTCTATGAAGTGACTTTATATCGTTAATATGCATGCCAATCAGAAAAGCCCATTGAAAGCATTTGTTTCCCTGCATTTGCGGATTGATAATTGCTTTCTTTTCAGCCAACTCTTCAGGGACCGATACAAAGCAACCACCTCGCAAAATCTCGAACTCGGCAACCCGAATATCGCTTCCTAGAATTTCGCATAAGTTCCATCCCGAACCATATTTCTCGAATATTTCAATTTGGTGTTGAAAATTCGTATCAATCTCGTTTAAAACGTCAGTCAGATAAAATTTGTTCAATACAACTTTCATATTCGAATTTATAAATTGTGTGCAATATTCCTCTTCTTCTTTGTCGCAAAACGGGGTGTCTCTAATAAATTTACATTTCAGGGTTATTTGAATTTTTACGGATTTGTAGTCATTTAAGCATTGTTTAATAATGCCATAAATACAACGCTTGTTTTCTGAAAAATATTCCATTAATGTACGATACGGAGCATTTTTCTTCTTATTTCTATGTCGATATGTTCTGACATATCCCTTAAATGCAGCTATCTCTTTAAAAGGGTATGCGTCGTTTTGTCGCTTTCTCGATCCCGTCTGTCGACTGCTTGCTGCCGTCGTAGAAGATTTTATGTGCGTCAAAACATGATTATTTACAGCAAAAATATCGCTGTCCTCATACATGCAATGCGGACATCTATGTGAATTTATATGAATATCGTACGCTTTGTGTTGAGTGAATTCTAAATTACATAACTTGCATACATATAATCTAAAAGGCCTTCTGTGATTCGCAACGTGTTTTTCGAACCGCCTTGCTGAGGCGAATTGAAGTCCACATGGGATGCATCTCGTACAAGATGTCCATGAATTCATCTATAAAAATTATGACACGAAATGAGGATAAGAAAGATTAAATATTGAATAAATCATAAATTCGCAAGGACGCACATTGATATGAGAGAAGTGAAAACGCATATATTCCTCCGCTTATAAAAGAATCCGCTCGTTCTCCAGTCTGCTACAGTATTTAATTATTAAATTGTCATTATACATAAATGTGGTGGTCGTACTCACATAGATTGTTTCATTCCTTCGAGCATCACCAGCCGCGAGTAGTAGCAGCAGCAGCAGCAGCGACAATACGACAAAATTCCGAGATTTGCGTCTAAATAATAAGAAAGTTTATTATAATTATTATATCATCATCATCTCAATTAAATTAAGTAATTATGTCATCAGCTGACATAATTTACGTATGTGTATCATACTTTTGTGAGTTGATAGCTTAAATTATTTGTGACAATTTGGCGTGTTGATATCGGGTGTATAATCAAATACCAAATGGAATTTAAAAATAATTCGGTTCTCATATTTATACTACTGAAGTGACATCATGACGACTAAAATGTCAAAGATCAAGTACACAGAAAGAAGTATTAAAAATAAATAAAAAATAATTTAATAACAATCTACTAAATACCTCTTGTTACAAAGAAAATAACTCAAACAAAGAAGATAATACGCATAGTCACAACAAAGTAATTAATTAGATCACTCCATTAACAAGCAAGTATTCACTTGTTATCGTATTATTTTATATTCTTGTTTACTGTCGTCATCATGTTCAATTTTGAGATTAAATCACGATATAAAAGACGACGATCTCCATTTAGTCGTATTAGTCAAAGAAATAATTTCGAGGAGTTAACTTTGAATTGTGAACAAGAAGAAAATTTTTCATCATGCCAAAAAGTAAGTTTTTTTTCTTTCAGAAATTTTATTCAGAAATATTCTTAAGCCAATTGCTTCAAAAGCAAAGAAAACAGAAAAAATTATTTGAATCTACAATTTAATTTCTATTTCAGAAAACGATAATCGCAGAAGCCGCAGCGCCACTCGCAGCACGAGCCGCAGTTCCAGCGATAGTAGTTCTTCACGGTCAAGTCATCGCAGTTCGTCGGGCAGCAGCGATGAGGGTAAAAGGCCTAGGAGCAAGAAAGCAATTTGGTCGGACGACTCGGAATCGGACCGATCCCCGAGATGAGACGCCAAGAACAAGACGACCCACAAGGGCAGAAAGGAAGCCGAGAAGAAACATAAGGATAGCGACCGTAAGATTTATCGTTTTATTTTACTCATTTATTTTATTTTTTAATTTGTAAATTTACATTACGCTTACGCTCTTATTTACAGGTAGACGAGAAGAAGTTAAGGATGCGGAAAAGAAGCCCATGAAAAAGTCTAACGAAGGACCTAGGCAGGGATCGGGATCTGGAACTAAGCGAAAAGCTGGTAATATTTTTTTATTTATTAATTTTAAATATTAACACATTCGAGACGTAGATTAATATTTTATATAATTCGATTATTTTCAAATACTCAATGCAAAACATTAACTAAATTAATTGCTCACTTTCAGGCGACGACGATAATAAGCCTGCGAAGAGGATCGTGAAGGACCAAGTCAAGTCGGCCGTGAAGGACGCTAAGCGGAAGACATCCAAGAAGGATCCCCAGCCTCACTTCAGCGGCGGAGGAGCAGGTGAACAGCCAGGTACAATTAAGAAAAACTTCTCGTCCTACGAAGAGAAGAAAGATTCGCAAAATTCAATTTGGTGGGAGGGGTTTTTAGGAGGCGAATACTACCTCCGACTCCAAACATGGCATAACAACTCAAAAACATATTTATCTTTACGCAAAAATCAAAATGTGGGCGCAAATATTCTGGTCGACCACTATTGGTCATTAGTAAAAGCGTTAGAAGAAATGCGCAACGACGTTGGTAGCATGCTCCCGGCAAAACCGGACGCTTAGAGCTTTATTTGATGTTAAGCTCACTAAAAGTTTTAAAATTCAAATTTTGGTTACAAATACTAGATTATTAGTTATTGCTCCATAAATCCTCTCAATACTTACCTTCAAATTAGCACCGGATCAATTCTGAAAATAAATAAATTCCAATACTTCATTAATTAACTAAAATTGTTGTCTATTAATTTCTCACACAGTTGACGGACTTATCTTTGTTCGTCGTCATAGACGGGCAATGTTTCCGAGGAAGGCTACGCCTGGATCAGCAGCATATGACCTATTTTCTCAAAACTCTGGCGAAATCAGTGGTGGCGGTGTTGGTGTGGTGGAGACGGGGATCCAAGTTATACTGCCCCTCAACCACTTTGGTTTGATTAAGGGGAGGTCAGGATTGGCCGCAGCAACAATGATATCCACAGCAGGTTTGTTGCTCATTATTACATTACTGTTACAAATTGAATAATTACAAATTTATAAAATTTATTTAAGGTGGCATAATCGACCATGATTATACTGGGACGATGAAGATTATCTTGCACAACAACTCGAGCGAAAACTTCGCTTACAAAGCGGCGTCACGCCTCGGGCAGCTTGCAGTAATCCCAATGTACCACGGACCAGTGCGATACGTTGAAGGAACTAAGAAAGACGAAGAACACGGCGTTCAAAGAAGTGAGTTCTTATCCCGCGAGCCGCGCGGTGATAAGGGATTCGGTTCGACTGGACAATAACGCGTTTTTGGCATTGTTCATCACTTCACATATATCACTTCCAACTTGCTAACAATTTTTCATTTAAACTGTTTTGAATTAGTTAATTAATTAATAAATTAACTTTTTAACCGTCTGGTCGGTATTTCCAGTCTGTTCACTGGGTTGTCACAAGCACGATCATATTCATCTGAACATTTTGGCATTGTATAACAACTAGAGTTAAAAACAATCCCATGTTTAGACGACCTCGTTCACTCAAGTGTCGCTAAAACTCCCATTCTCATATGAACATTTTGACATTGCATACATGCTTACACTTTAAACAATCCCATGTTTAGTCAATCTCAAACATTGTAGAAGCTCTGATTCTCATATGAGCATTTTGGCATTGCGTGCCCAATTGCATGCATGCACTTTTGATAATTTCATATTTGTTATAACTTGGCCAAACAATGGTCAAGTTATAACAACATGGCTCAATTGAAAAAGTGGCTCAATTGAAAAAGTGGCTCAATTGAAAAAGTGGCTCAATTGAAAAAGTGGCTCAATTGAAAAAGTGGCTCAATTGAAAGTGGCTCAATTGAAAAAGTGGCTCAATTGAAAAAGTGGCTGAATTGAAAAAGTGGCTCAATTGAAAAAGTGGCTCAATTAAAAAAGTGGCTCAATTGAAAAAGTAGCTCAATCGAAAAAGTGGCTCAATTGAAAAAGTGGCTCAATTAAAAAAGTGGCTCAATTGAAAAAGTAGCTCAATTGAAAAAGTGGCTCAATTGAAACAGTGGCTCAATTGAAAAAGTGGCTCAATTGAAAAAGTGGCTCAATTGAAAAAGTGGCTCAATTGAAAGTGGCTCAATTGAAAAAGTGGCTCAATTGAAAAAGTGGCTCAATTGAAAAAGTGGCTCAATTGAAAAAGTGGCTCAATTGAAAAAGTAGCTCAATTGAAAAAGTGGCTCAATTGAAAAAGTAGCTCAATTGAAAAAGTGGCTCAATTGAAAAAGTAGCTCAATTGAAAAAGTGGCTCAATTGAAAAAGTAGCTCAATTGAAAAAGTGGCTCAATTAAAAAAGTAGCTCAATTTTTCTATTTTTCAAACTTTTTCAATTGAGCCACTTTTTCAATTGAGCCACTTTTTCAATTGAGCCACTTTTTCAATTGAGCCACTTTTTCAATTGAGCCACTTTTTCAATTGAGTCACTTTTTCAATTTAGCCACTTTTTCAATTGAGCCACTTTTTCAATTGAGCCACTTTTTCAATTGAGCCACTTTTTCAATTGAGCCACTTTTTCAATTGAGCCACTTTTTCAATTGAGCCACTTTTTCAATTAAGCCACTTGTTCAATTGAGCCACTTGTTCAATTGAGCCACTTTTTCAGTTGAGCCACTTGTTCAATTGAGCCACTTGTTCAATTGAGCCACTTGTTCAATTGAGCCACTTGTTCAATTGAGCCACTTTTTCAATTGAGCCACTTTTTCAATTGAGCCAGTTTTTAAATTGAACTCAATCGAGAAAGTGGCTCAATTGAAAAAACAGTTTAGGCCGGGTTTGGATAAGTTGTGCCAGTTTTTTCCCGCAAGCGTTTGAAAATTTCTCTAGAAGGATGGCCCATGCTTTGTAATGTGCATTTTTACTTAAATTCTGTGTGGAGTGTTAGAGTTATCGGTTTTGTATTGTTTTACAATAATGTTGTGCATTTCTTGTGTAAGTGTTGAGTGTCAGTTTAAAATTCATAGTTATTACTTCCTCCCTGTAATATTTCTCCATATTGTCACCTTCGTTAAATTCTCCATTCGTCATACAATGTAACCGTACATTCGTTGTACATATGTACGTATATATGAGAAGAGCAGAGAATAAATATTTTTTGTGATATTAGGTCCTCTCAAAGCTCTAAAAAAGATCAGATTTTTCTGCTCATCGCTCATTCTGATCTTTTCTGCTCGGCTGTGCGCATGCGATTTCGCTCAAAATCAGATTTTCTTGCTCAACAAAAAAATCGAGTTTTAGGTTGATTTTTGCTCTCATAATCCTGCTCATTCTGCTCCTCCATCACCACACCAACACATCAGATGTTTGTTTACTTAAATTTTTCGTTTAAAAATTGAGTAAAATTTTCTAAAACATGTTTTCCTTATCATTATTGGTCCCAAGACCAAGGTTAAGGGTACCAGTGTCGAAAAAGTTGCAAATCCCGTCGTTTGTCGTAACAAACGTGGCGTTGTAGAGGTAATAGACGGCAGAAAAACTTTTCGCTGGAAACCACAAATAAAAATTGACACAGCACATCATCTATGTCGTCGACAATTACACTTTTAAGGTAAATGATAGTTTTTTGTCCACATATAATTTCGAATGACCATATCCTTAATCGCAAAAAAATTTTTGAGCAGGTGGCCAAACGCACTGAATTCCTTCGTCGTCTCCAAGATGCTTTGGCCCTTAACTGCGAAGAAAGTCCTAAATATGAGATTTATAGTTGTTTATTGCTGCTGCATAAAATGAATTATTTGAGATAAATGCTCTGTTCGTTTTAATTCTCCTGCAATATTATCTTGAAAATATCATGGGCTTGTTGTTCAAATCCATATTACGACCACATAAAAATAAATAAATAATAAATGATAAAAATTCAAATGTCTCTTAACGTTCAGTTATTTTCGACATTTTGTGAATTATGAAACTGAATTTAGAACCATGAAAATGATAAACAAATGATTGAACTTCCAACAAATAAAAATCACGATTCTCAAGAATTATGATCGATAAAAAAAGTGGTACGTTCAAGGTTTGAGCAGAAAAATCGGATTTTTTATTTTTCTGCTCATTGCTCATTTCGCTCATTTTTTGAGCCTTGAGAGCTCCTATTATTTTCCCAAGTTACAAGTTACTATGCATGCTAAAATTCGCCAAAATTGAGAATTTTACCAGTGGCCCAAGAATTATAATTAAAATCAAGGGGGCGTGGCCCAGGGGACCATCGAAACCAGGTACCCTTTAGTATGGGTGATAAAAACCACTTCTGGATAGCACACACAGCTTTGGAAGTTCAAGATATTAAGGGATTTTATGCCAAATAATAGAAAATCTAACACACATTAACTATCCAAAACAAAGAGTTTGTATTATGTCGGTCAATTCGGAGAAAAATTTAGAACTCTGACTCAGGCTATATGGAGTCTGCACTGTAGGTTTTATGAGTATGAGCTCAATGCTAAAATAATTTATTGTGAAAAATGTTGCGAGTAAAAAAATTTTGTTATTTTTATTGAAGTCATCGTACTCTGAGATTTTAAATTAATGTTTTGCTGAATATTGATAACACAGTGAACCGGTGGTTCATATTAATATTATATTCATGTTTCCGTGAGTATAAATATTCGTACAAAATTTATAAAGCAAAATTCTCTATTTTACATTGTATGTACATATTATATAATAATAAAGCATAATGTATTTCTTCCTGGCCTGAATTTGTTACCAGTTTTCTGATAGCACTACTAAAACTTGCATGGCTCCGATGACATCATTTTTTACGAACATATCCAAATTTAAGTTGCTCTAAGAAAATGCAAAATCCCATGTAAACTTTAATTGCAGCTTCAAATGTTCTCGCAATGGAGGTTTTCTTGTATATGTATGCTCTTCGATTTTGGCGAAATATTACAGCGAAATTTACAAACGGCACTATCTGCTAATGCTCAGGTTTGGAGGAGATATTTGCATGGGCAGATAGTGCCGTTTGCAAATTTCATGCTAATTAAATTTGTGATTGACACTAATTTGGTCATAATCAGGGAGTATACACTGTAAGATATATACTCACCGTCATAATAAGCATCCTTCTTCACGACCCTTTGTGCCAAGGATGGATCGTCATATTCTTCGTCAGACAATGGACCTCCCAAAAAAAGAGGAAGCTGATCAACTTCCAGTTTCAGCATATTTTGAAGTGATGTCAAGTTAGTGCCGTGAAAATGAATCTGTAACACAAAATGAAGAGTAAATAAATATGCAGTAAAAGTATGAAAGAACTGCAAAAAAGTTATCCATACCCTCCGACGCATTTTTTCTTTCATGAAAAAAGCTGCCACTGAGAACAATGCACCAAATATTTGCGGATTATTAATTATATGAAACTCTGTGAATTTTGCTGGGTATGAATCCTAAAATTAAAGTTGGTTTCTCTAAATTAGTGAGAAAATCAATTATTTATAAATACCATTTCATTTTTCTAATACCTGCAAAATTTTGATTAAAATTTGAAGTCGAGCTGGACGTACTTGCGCTGCATGCCAAACACTCAATGTTCGAAAGTCCATGATCACAACAAAGCCAAAAAGCTGAGTATCTGACGAAACGGTCATTTCATCCATCATTAAAAATAAGGTAAGGAGGACATCATCAAGTGTGACGTTTTTATCGCTCCATTTTTCTATTATATTTTTAATTAAATTATTTAAAGTAAATTGAGTTTTGTAAAATTCTAGTATCAGAATTTTACCCATTCGCATAAAAATAATTTGTCGCCCTAAACTGTCCCTCGTTTTCAGTGTGGAACAATATTTGCTGTTGATTACATGGAGTAAGGAAGAAGGTTTCAATTTCATGATAAAATCAGAAGCTCCGTCCATTCTTAATCGACAATATTTCTGATACTGAAACGTAATTATTGAAAAAATTTCTACATCGTATGTCGTCGCTGTTCGTGCAAAAGTCATCGCTTTCAAAACCAGTTGGAAACATAAGTTATGAGATGTGGGAAAAACATGGCACCAGGTTAAAGTTATGCAGTCTCAAATCTCCTTAAAATGGATCCAACAACTTATTCTTCCAATTAGGTTTGAAGGCAATAGCTTTTTTACACGAACAGCGACGATATGTCATTAAACTCAAGAGTAAAATACACTGATGAATATTAATATTTTAAATCTCATACCAGACGCGCAGCACGCTCCAAATCATATTTTTTTGCCCGGATGCATCTCAGGTAAAATTCATCGAATGATGGCGGATGCAGTACTAATTCTTTATCTGTTTAAAAAGTATGTATGAATTTGCAATCTCCAAAACGAAAAAAAAAAACAATTATGTTCCAGTAAAATTTACCATTCGCCAAAATCCTTTTCATTTGCCTAATTCTTTCGGGAATTAATTCTTCCACTTCCCCCATCGAATCTTTAGCCTCTTGTCGCAGTACTTCTATCGACGCCGTATGATTTTTGCAGGGGGATGCATGCTCGGAAATTGGCAATGGTGCCATTTTACCCCTGAAAATAAATACCCACTAAATTTAGTTTTTGCATGTACTTTCCTTAGTTAACTTTGCACTTACGCGTTACAACTGGACTCCAATGGAAGCCAAGTATTGGACGTATTTTTGATACCTGACCTGAACCTTAGGCTGACAGAGTCGTAATAAATTCGTAGGCTAAGAACATGATCCAAGTTCGCACGCAACGTTCATTCGTGTGTGTAAATACATATTTTCTGGACTAGCTTTTTCCCAAGATGCAGTCAAATATTATACTCAATTTCAACGCTATCAAGGATTCCGTCAAGGAAATTTAGTCAAGTTTTCTACGAGCTACAACATGCAAATCAAAATGTAGTAACAATTATCACAAACAAGTTAGAATTTTAGTCGTGCTCCACCGATTACGAAATTAATTATTCAAGTGTTTTCAAAAATAAGAAATCAACCGAATTATAAAACTAACTGAAATAATTTCTTGTAGCCATGCGTTTGAAAATATGACGTCAACAGGTTAAGCTGCCAGCGTCTCACTGATCCTTAAAGTCTATTAAAAGTATTAAACTATTTCGTTACATGTTTTATTCGTGCTAACAACTTGAAATTGTCGAAGGACTTGTTGCATCTTTAAAATTTAAGGTTTCAATTTCATTGCGACTTACTTTCCAAATTAGCACTCGAAATATTTAACATATGCAATTCACAAGATTTACATATCTCGTGGAATGAAGCATACAACAGACTTGAATGTCATTGGGTGACGGGTGTCGAAAGGCTTTTAAAATGTTACCACAAATTCAGGTGCTTGTGCTAAAATCGGATTTCGTAAATCCTTAAAGCTCAGTCTCCTTGTACTTGTACGCATACGAAATTATGGAGGTTATGCTGGTTTTAACATAGTGTGACGTTTTATAGTGAAGTATTCATTGTGGATTTTGTACCTGTTAATAAATAGGGTTTAAAAACATTTTCATACCGTTAACCTAAAAGTTCGTCCAATACTTTTACATATTCGGGTAAAACATTTTAATTACAAGAAAAAAGTTTTGCATCGCATTTTGTACCTGAAATAGACTTACGTACACATATCAGATCAGAACTATGACTCAGAATGATGGTTAAACCTTATATAAATAATACAAGTTAAAATAAAGTTCAATCTTTAAGCCAACAATAATCTGGAGTTTGTAACGAAATGTTATAAAAATATTGATGAGAAAAATGTGACAGATAAACCATTTGAGCACGAGATATTATTGCAAACAGACAGCTCTTGTTTGTTTTCTGGTTCTGAGAAAAGGAAATGTGAACTGATTGTCAGCTCTGCCTGTTTAATCACCTCTGCAATTTGTACTAAGGTAAATTTTACCTATAAGGAAAAGCCTAGTTTTTAGTGAGTATTGCAGTAAATAGTTACAATTACACTGTAGACCTGTGACTAGCATACACAGACACATAATAAATATGTGTAACGAACAAAGAATATGAGCACTTATTGACCCTGACATTGACTTTTTTTGTAAACCAAGAATCCTATTTTCCTATCTTCCTATTTTCCATCAAGTTCTCTCTCAAGGATGTTCACTTCATTGGCTGACGAACTTTTTCATATCGCATCAGTAAATAAATTGTTCCTACTAAAAATCTGACACGCCAAGCGTTAATTTTCCAGAAATTTTGAAGCTAATTTATTATCTTCATCAGCATAGTATAAAACAATCCATAAAGAATGATGCATGTAAGGCTTTTAACTATGGTCAGGTGAACCATAAAATTTGCACTTTGCTAAGGATGCATTTCATTCGATCAGTAGCCAACTTTTGCTACGTAACTTCATATGCAATTTTTGATGACAAAGCAACATTTGCAGTGCAACAGATTGGATTGCAATTTTTGTTCATTGGCGTTGGCCAAAATACTGGTGGATATGAAATTATACGCACATAAGTACATGTAAGTATATTTATTGGTGTATATGTAAAGTGACGACTTATATATGTATATCTATAGCACGATGGGATTCCCCAACCGACAATAATGAAAACTTGACGACCTTTTAGTCTTCCGATAACATCACAAGCGCAAATTTGGTCCAGTAGACGGTCACGTATCTATGTATCTGACTAGCTATGAATAGATAGTTGTTGATGTCGTCATTCAAGCGTGTGAATGGGTAAGCATTTAGCGTTATTGATTTAACTTGTGCACCTCTAACACATAAAAATCAACGAGTTATGTAGTTCATGGCGTGCCACTTCATTTCATAAGATTTTCCACAAATAAAATACAACGATGCAATAAACGCTCCAGCCAGAATCATGTGTATGTGCAATTTACCAGCAGCAATTATGCACCTTGCAGCAATGTCCGCTTTAATTTATTCCCTTTTACTTACTTCCAGTGGAAATTCCAGCGAAACTTGGTTTCTTTGTGCACAAATTCATATATCATAAATACCTCATTACAAAAGGCGGAAGCATGTCCTTATACACAACAAGATTACCACAAAAGTTGTCCAGTGAGTTACTAGTTCCTTGTGTTTTTGTGCCTCATTTTTTACACTGGCTGATGTATGTACGACTACAAACGTGTTATATCATCAAGATTTGCTCACACATGGGATTAATTATGCTACAAGTATGACGACCTCTCTTCTGAAAAGTGATTCTCTTAATCCTGACCTTTACATAATAAGCCATGTTGAGAAACAAGGTGCAATTTGCTAAGTGTATCCGTCGACTAGGCATGGTTGGCCGGATCCATCCCACGCCACGTAATAAGTCCTTAGACAATGCTGCACACCAAATTAATTCATGCACCAGAATCTAAGTTTTTACGCCAAAAGGCTTGCCGCATTTATTATTGTGATTATAAATTGAGAAATAATTGGCAGACCAAAATGACCATGTTTATCCAAGGCTTAGTAAATCATATCACGTTACGTTACATCATATTCGAGACATGGGCTAACAATAGTTTTTTCATAGAAATTAATTGTATTCAACCATTTAAGCCAGGTAAAAATTAGCAGAAACTAAAGTAGATTGGAAGTTAGTGTGCTTACATAAAAATGCGAATGGTGGGTACTTGTAGATATGAATTTAAATAATTTCAACGACAGTCGCAAGTGGTTGAGCTGACTGAAGGTGATAATGACCAACCGTTTGAACAATGGTAATCCAAAGATTTAAGAACCATATACTAAATTTGGACTTGACTTTGGCTTGTCTCAAAATTTCGTAAGATTTGGAGTAGATAAAGAAACAAGAGTGCAGGACATTGAGCAAACAGTCGCTCTGATAAATAATGAAAATTGTTATGTATGCATTGCACCATCCGTAATGCATTTGACAAGTTCAGTGACAAATTTCTCAGGTGGAAAAAGTCTTACGTATTTTTTAACTAGTGTAAATTAGAACAAAGAAACGATAAAATTTTCTCAAAGTCGGTTCTTCTCATACAAAGTCAAGTTCACACCTGGTTTTCCATTGTTTTTTTGGTTTATGTACTAACTCCGACATTCATAATCCTTTGTATTGCTTACTTTCTTGTCGATGACATGTGTTTATTTTCTTAACTTTGACTGGTGATAAAACTCCCGACTTGGCAGATACCAACTTCTTCTGGATGAGTGAATATTTTTTCACCGTTAACATTTATTTGCTATGTACATATGAATGTAGGTACTAAAACAAAAGTTGGTTGAGACGCAGTTATGTCATTTTACAGCATGTGACAAATTGTCCGATAACAAATTCGAATAAAAAATGTGAACGATTCGTACTAATTCTGCTTTCATGATGGGATTTAACATTTCATTTTGGGTTAAATGAACTACCAGTAAGTTGCGTGCACGATTAGAGAAGAAGATAATTTTTAATATCCGCACAGTTCTACTCCATGTCTTGAAGAGATAAATTAATTAATTAATATTGCATGCTCTCATTATCCTGCTTCATTTCCCTTTGTTTCCTATAATCTACTGCGTCCTGATTATAATTCGTGCATCATGGTAAATTGCAAAAAAAATCCGCCATGTCAAGAAATGCTTCCATTTATTACTTTTTGTATTGGCAGAGCTATGCAGACAATAGCGTATTATTATAATTCACAACTTCCATCCCCTCGGGTCTTCTTGACTCTCCTAAAACTTTTGAAAGGCAAGTTCAGCAAAAAATCGGATCTAACCAACCAAGTATACATTTCCTTCCACCCTCTTCTTGTTCATATATTCATTCCGTTAGTTTTTTCATATAAATGAATGCTGAACATCTGCCTGGCCAGACCGTCTTGTGTTTTGTTCTGTTACTTCCTTTCCTATACCACCAAGCAGAATATTGTTACGAATTTATCAGCATTACTACAAAACAATACATATACCAATCCTGCATGAATATTACGGTTCACTTGCTTGCAATAAAATATTCTAACAAGGGAAGACAAGTTGTGTATAAGCTCATCAACTTGAATAAAGGAAGGAATTAGGCGGTGCTGTTTTTCTGCATGCACATCCATCCACACGTTTCACATTGAATTGTCTCGAAGAACACTATCAAAATTTGTGGATTGGCTGGTAATTGGTGTAATTCCCCAAGAAGCAGGAGGCAATGGGCATAATATCATCTTCCAAGCTATGTAGGTGGTTGGACTTGAAGTTTTGACTTTGAAAAATTATTTCTTTAATAGTCTTATTGGTGGTGAGGATAAGGATAGGAAGGAAATTGTCTTATTGTGTGGTATATACATACATTCACTCGTATTGCAACCCATAATTATGCGTATGTGTGGCGAATGTTGTTAACTTTGTTGTGTCCAAGGCGTACGTTTGTATGTATATGTAACTCGAGACATGGCATCAACCAGTCATTTGGTCATTGTCATTGGTCTTGTGCAGTTATTTATGTTGGTGGTAAAAATAATTTAGTTTTGCGGTTTTAAGTTCGTTATACTATTCAAGAAACGTGCTGAACTAGTACATAAAATAAGTGCTCGAAGGAAGGATAATTAGTAGACGGAGGAAAATAGTGAATTTGCAGAGTCCATATATATAAAGACTGGATTAAGAAGGAGCAAGAAGGATAGCGGTCGGTTGCCTAAATCTGTCAATTTCAAACGGTAAGAGTTCGAAAAATAATCTTGGATAATTTCACATCTCTTTGTAATTACTCACATTTCATGAAAACTGGACCGGAATAGGTTACGTACAACTTGATAAGATGCGAAATTGGGTAACGATCATGAGGTAGCTCATGACGAGCCACTCCGGCAACGTGGCCCCTAATTTATCCAGTGATTTATTTACTGATAAAAATTCAATTGTCCATCCGACAGACTATTGTGCATACACTTGCAGACAAGATTTTACCCATTTTTTCACGTGTTGGAAATGAAGTTCATTACCAATGCTTTAATTTTAATGGTAGCATCATATTAATTGTCCCGTAATGTGTAATATTGCTGGAATCTACATTAAAAATTACTTCAGCCCACCCATTAAACTGCATAACATAATATCATGCAGATTCCAATATTGAAAGCATGTGCATTATAAATACGATAGAGTGTAATCTATGTATTTCCTCATTTTCTGCGGAGGGCAATAAATTTAATTCCGTAAAAAATATTTTCTATCACTTCCAGTTTAAAATTGCGGTAAAAAATTATTTTGCATTCTTGTTATTTCGCAAGTGATATGTACGTTAATTGGTACAAGGCCGCTGGAGAAAAATAATTGGACAAGCCCTGACCTGGACCATGGCAAATTTTCGTAATATGGTCAAGTGGAGTATGTAGCAGGTTACATGTATGGCAAATGTAACCTGCCAATATATGGCAAATGTATTGGCTGCATACATATTTATTTATATACATAGTTTTATCGTTTTATGAATCATACGCATACCTGCCTTGATTATTTGTGTAATGGCGAATAAAATTACGGTGTGTTAAATTCCAATAAATCACATCTTCAAGTTCTTCTCCCTTTTGATATGCATTTGCATGTGCAGAGTGGAACCTTCCCTTCATGTGACAGCAACAATGTCAAATCACAGTATCCACTTGTTAGCAGACCCCTCACATTCACAAATATTTTATACCGTTCTTCTCATTATGCAATGAAGCGGTAGGTTAAGGGACCGTTGCTTCTTATAAAACTTGATGCACACAGTTATGCAATTCTATTTTGAGCATATTTCCTCAAATATTTATCAATCAGCTGCATACATATGTAATTTCCTAACAGTTTCCTGTACGCGTGTAGTGAAAGCTGATTCAGGCTAAGCATTCAGACAACAATGCATACAAATTCAATCCAGGAAAACAGGTTGATCACAATTTATTCAATTCGTCATTGTTTCATAACGAAACGTGCTGTTGTTTTGGAAAAAAATTATAGAATGTCAAGATGCGATGTGATCAGTGACGTAGTATTGAAGCAGCAGCAGTTCAACTGGTCTGCTTGGTTTCGATTTGTTTATTGTTTTTTCTGTGAGGAAGTAAGGAGTGACGTGCGCAAATTTAATCTCTTATGATTTAGAATTATATATTTCCATAAAAATGAGTAGAGTTGAACTGTATGCCAAATCAGACATATGAATTTTACAAGAATCTTGACCGCGTTTATTCATGATGAGGACTTATTGTTAGTCGTTGACAAATCCCTTCTTATTAGGATGGGAAGATCGGCTTATACGCTTTAGTGCAAACGTCAGTTGTACGTATGTACAGAACATTAGTATAAATATAAAAACAAATTAAATTTCATGGATTAGAGAGCTATTAAGGAAGCATCATATGCATAAATCAGTGCATAACAGTAACGCAAGGGCGTCATCACTGTAAGTTGTCACCTGTTTTGTTGTAAAATCCTGACGTATTGCATGGATTAAAAAATGTCTGCAAAAAAACGCGAAAATACTTGTGACGCAAGCATGCAATTTCGAATTCTGTCCAACCTTATAATTCCATTGATTTAATGTCATAAAAACAGTAATATGTACACAAATGGAGTTGTTTACTGTTTAGTTTACTGGCATGATTAGAAAATAAAGTATGGCGTGGGCAATTTAATCTATCTGCAATTATGCGTAGCACTCATTATCGTATCATATAATTAATTACGTTGTTATCTTAATGAGGGTAACATTCCGTCACTCATGCAATTCCAGATGTATCCGGTGGTGTACTGTTTTTTTAGGTAAATAGTTGAAAAATTAGAATTCATTTCTATAAATTTCGATCCAAAGTCATTTTAATAAAGTATTTTATTTTCTAAGGTGTAAAATACACACTTTACAATTGTCCAATCTCTGGGGGACAATTTTAAAGTCTGATTATAATGATTGTCGTCATCATGCAATCTTAACCCAACTCAACATTTATCATATATTTCAAGTGGAAATGTGTACCAAAATATGTCTGATTCTGAGTATTATACATGATGAATGGATGTCCACAACTGGGGTCAATTCTCAAGTTTTTTATGTGAGTGTTTTTATGTTACACGATTTTTTGTATGTGACATTCATAGTTTCACAGCAATGCAGAATTGATCTCATCAATTATAATGAACGGGCGTCCATTCACGAGTGGTTACCAAGTCCAATAAATTGATTGACTGCTACGCTACGCTAACTCATTTTTGATCTGTACGTCTGAAACGGAAGTACATATACTTAAAAGTGATTCTTACAATTGTCTCAAACTGCCTCGTTAATACCGTCTCAACTTTTTTGAGTTAGTTGACTTTATGCATATCTGTGAATTTGTGATTTTGTCAAATACAGAAGTTTTCCAGTGATTTGCAATAATTTTGCAAATTTTGCAGCATTTAATACTGCAAGGCAAAGGCAAGGTAATTGTAACAATTATTTAAACTGTATTAAATAAAGTAACGAAACACAATTGACAAAAGGATTTTGTCAATAACGTTCCAATATTATTTAGTTTGACCATAAAAATAACGACTCATCGACAAAAAAAAATCTTGATAAGCCAAGACAAAGTTATCATACGGAGCTAAGCATATGTAGAGTCTAACTCATTTAATATATGAAACTCGTCTCATTCGTTATCTACTTCCAAATTCCAGTCGTTCATTGATCGCATAACTTACGCATCGTTACGAAACCTTGTCCCAGTTTTGTCCTTCCTGGGACAGAAATGAGGACAAGACTTATTTTGTGAACTTGGACTTTGCGAATCAACATACTGACACAAATTATCTATGTATGAAAAGCACATGGAGTCCATTTGACTTTACATCGCAGTCACTTTGTTCTTCGGATTAAATGGATAAATAATTCAATTATTTATTAACAGTGTGTCAACGAACGAGTTGAACGTCAGATAACCTGATTTTGTTAATAAAGTAACGATACATGAATTAGACTAGAGACCAGTCACTTACATACGAAAAGTGTATGCATCAACTTGACACTAATCAAGTCAGTTGCTTTCAATACATATTTGATTTTGAATTCGGTTTTTATTTTCTTCCCAGATTTTGGAAGGAACTTTGTTCAAAATGACGCTGGGACCCGAACCACCCGCAGTCACGCCAAGTCTTCAGCGGTTGAGGAGTAAAGCCAAGCACGAAATTGGCGAAATAGATGATCTCATTCCAGAACAAATTGCCGCAATCAGAACAGTTTTGTCAGGTACAGCCACGAATTATACATTTTTTTTATTTTTCGAAAAATAAAATAACGAAATGTCATATTTTGTATTTTACAGAAGAGTCTTTAGTTAACGTACCACCAAAACAGTTCGACCCTTTCCTGCTACGTTGTCTAAGAGCGAGAAAATTTGATATTCACCGTGCTGCAAAAACGGTACATATTTATTTCCCATGGTCAAAATCATTTACATGTTTGGCAGACAAATCATTAAAAATTTGGAATTCTTCAGTACAAAAAATTCTGCTATATGAATTACAACTTGAGCGAGATTACGGACTACCTCCTCCCATCGACGTATAACGGTCTAATACATTCCAAATTCATTTCAATCCTAAAATCCGTCGATGCCTCTGGTAGACAGATCGTTTTTATCCAAGTTCGTAAGTGACGCAACCTGGCAAAATCTCAATCAATTCATAATTTTCTTGTGGTTGGTTACCAATCTTATTATTATTTTCAGACAAATGGCATCATGCCAAACACACCCTGGACGAAGCGCTGGGGACATTGTTCATGTATATCGACCAAGCCTTGGACTCTGTCGACACACAGTAAGTCAATCTGTAAAAATGTCTGCATGCCAAATTGCCAAAATTGAGACAAAAATTTGTAATCATTATTAAATTTCTGCAGATTGAACGGTATCGTTGTTCTCGTTGATTTTAAGGGATTTGGTTTCGGCCATGCAAGACAAGTAACCCCTGCGAAAGTGCAAGCTGTTGTCAACATGGTTCAGGTTTGTGGTGCTTATCAATTATTCACGATTTATGTGCGTTTAGTATTTTGATTTGTGAATTATTTACTGACAATTTTTAATTGCATGTTTTTAGGACTCGTACCCTGCAAGATTTAAAGAATTTCACTTTTACAACCATCCCACCCTATTCAATATGGTTTTCGCCCTGGCGAAGGTAAAGCATATACATTTTGGTAGGGATGGTCAAATACCTTATCAAAATACAGTATTTTGAGCTACGTTTTTCCAAGGTTTTGGATTTCCAGGACTGTTACACCCACTAAAAGGCCAGAATCTACGTGGAAATGCAATAGTCACACGAAAATATAGGTTTTGTGAAGAAATTGACTTTATACCGCGGTCAAAATCCTTTTTTCAGGATTTGTAAAAAATAAAGTGCTTTGACTGTGATTAAAACTTAATTTCTTCACAAAACTTGTATTTTCGTGTGACTATTGACTTCCCCATGCAAACTCTCGTCTTGCTGGGGGCGTAACAGCCCTGGAAATCCAATCCCTGGGGAGAACGAAGCTTTAAATATTTTATTTTGACATAGTATTTTGACCACCCTGCATTTTTTATATTAAAAATCAGTTTTACCATGTTAAAAATTAATTTAAATTTTAAATTTTAGCCGTTTCTCAAGGAGAAGATTAGAAAGCGGGTAAGAGGGTCAATTTACAAAAACACCCGATGAAATTAATTTTGTACCAATTATTACTAATAACTGGCTTCTTTCCCACAGATTTTCTTCCACGGACATGACCTCGCCTCAGTTCACAGGAGCATAAATCCAGCCCTGCTACCAGCCTGCATGGGTGGTGCCCTTCCAGATAATGCCTTCATCGACGAGGAAGCCCTTGCCTTGCTGTTAAAAAAGGACGACTATTTTAACGACATGAAGGAAAATTTCCTCCCGATCTTGCAGGAACCTGAATATCCAGACTACATCAAGTAGGCGGTAGCTGATGCAGTGGAATGCATTAAGTTGTATGAAAAAAATAATGCAATTGTTTAAAATTTAGTTCCAAGCTAGCCAGCAAGTTTTATTGATTGAGTATTGTTCATTTTGTTACCCGTGGTTTATAGTCAAATAGTCATAATATTGTGACCTAAATCCTACACTAGTAGGTATACGTTGGTTAATTTTAATTTAAAAAACTGGGACCAGTTACAAAGAAATATTAGTTTACAGTTAATCCTTGCTTTAAAACTTGTGAAGCCAATGTAAATATGTGATACTACTTTTATTTGGCTTAAATAATAAGAACAATTATCAGTCTAAGAGTTTAAAAAGTGAAAATGTGGATAAGATCAAGGGAGAAATATGCATTTGTTTAAGAGAGATTAAAAATATCTCTTAATTTGTAAAATGCAGGAAATTTTAATTGAATTATTCAAAAATTCAAAGTTGTTGAACCAAAAATTAAAAAATGTACACATTCCCGAGAAATGGAATTAATTTGTAAACCAAAATACGGAAGTGTCGATGTTTAACAAACAATAAATTTTTACAGACAAGTATGTATATACTCTTGTATTTTATTCATTCTTACTAAAACTTGCTAGGAGTATATATGTAAGTTGTGCTTCATCATATCTTATCGAAATGGAGGGTCAGGTTAAAGAACGGAGACAGCAACAAGTTCGATTTCATGACCCCATCGTGGTCTCCACTATTCCACCTTCCAACCCTAATTCTCGGTCGGAAAGCCCTTCTTCCGAGCAGGATATTTCGACAATTCATTCCCTTCAACCCCAAAGAAATGATGGTAAGGATATATTACGCTCTTAAAAATAATGTTGTTATGAAAAGTAAATGTATTCTCGTTTTATATTAAAATCCTAAACAATACTAGATCCAGAATAACGTCAACTTGGTAAAGAGTAAAGTTTACTCTGAATTTAGTATTGTCTAAAAATTGAGACAGCGTTAAGTTTTCAAAAGAATAAGGTTAATTTTAACAGTGTACTACTTGCTGCAGTTATCCTAATTTTTTATTACAAGCTAAAAATAAATATTTGGTATTTCAGAAGGTGACACGATTCTTGGTAGTGACGATGATGGGGAAAGTGACTCATCCAAGAACTCTGACCCTGACCCCACAAGAACCAAGGATGTCGGACTAATACCCGAGTGCTGCTTTCCGTATGAAGATGACGAATGCTTTTTTCACTGGTGCTGTGGGATTTTTATGATATTTTGCATGTAGCTAGTAACTAAATGTTTAATAATGTCTGATGTAAATATTCAAACAAAATGGCACTGTCAGCATAGTCTTAACTCGAACCCCGCTTTGATTTCCAGTTGATTAATGTCTTGCCAGTTGTATGTAAGTGCTTACAATTTAGAATGTATGATCATAACAATAAAAATAATGTCCTAGAACGGTTCAAGTGACACAGAGTAGAGGAAATAGTCAACATTTATTTTTATTATTTTACACGCTCAGAGAGTAGACTTATTTATGTCTACAGCGTATAATAAGAGGGCTAATGAGTCAGAGACATTACGTGAATGTTGATCTGTGAATGAAATTCAATGCACATTAACGGTATAGTAAAGATTAGCTAGGGATACTATAAATAAACCCAACTTTTTTAAGTATAAACATTTTAAAAATCTAGTTTTGTCCCCTCTTTCCAATTATTATTAACAGCTTTCAGTTTTGCTCTGTATAATAATTGGTGAAAATAATAATATCAAAAAATGGATTTTGAGACAGAGGGAAATGAGAGATAATCTCAAACTGCCTCTCAACTTATTTACTGTAATTGTGATGGATAAAGCGTAATGCAATGCAGCAGAGGAATTATGTGAGTGGTGAGCAGGGCTTAATTGCGAGTTATCCATGTAATCTGACTCATTTTTGCATTTACATATCAACATTCGCACGTTGATCATGAACCTTGCATGCAAGTACCTACTTCTCCTCATGAAGACGCCCGTTCATCAAGTTTGTCTTTATTTTGAGTTGTTCATCTCTGACAAAGATTTTGACTTCAGTGGAGTTCTGGACAATCCAGAGAGCAGAACGGACAAGTCTTAAAAAATATTAGTTGCGATTTCATAATTTGCATACACGGCTCAAACATGAGTGCTTTCATGTGTGAGAAAGCTGAGTCGACGATGAAATTTGGGATTCAATCCTGCAATTGTGGCCACATCGTGGAGCTTGGTGAGATCGAGATGGAGATAACTTCGGAAACTGATGAATCGGAGGAGGAATCAGTTTACAACGATGTCATTGAAGACATTCTTGTGGAACTTGAACACCAATTCGCTGTGGGTTTGCAGGAGTTGGAGGATGATGGTAAAAAAAACATGCTAAATTTTATAGTGCGAACTAGTGATGGTAATCCGTAACCGATCCTATCCTAGGATCGTAAAAACTCGGATAGGATCGGATTTTCACACGGATCGGATAAAGGATCCGAGGATCAGACAATCCGATCCGATCCGAACCGATGAAATCCTAGGATCGCACAGGATCCTCGGATCATCCGATGTAAACTCGTTTCACATTTGGTGAGTTCATCACATGGCGTACATTACCCGAATGAGCCGAATTATCCTATTATTTTACACCAGTTATTTTTATTTTGGCGTTCAAATTATTCAATTTCCTATGATTTCAACGCCAAAACAAAAATAACTGGTGTAAAATAATAGGATAATTCGGCTCATTCGGGTAATGTACGCCATGTGATGAACTCACCAAAAACCGTTCCAATAAATAAAGAAAAGCAGCTGGTAAAGGTTTTCCATAGTTAGACACAAGGTGTCTCACACATATCATCCGCGGATATCCTACGATCCTAGGATCGGATCGTATCGGATTTCAAGTAGAACCGGGAGCCGATCCGATCCTAAAGCGAGCAAATCCGATCCGATCCGATCCTGTATTTATCCGATCCTATCCTACGGATCGGTTAATTTAGGATACGGATTACCATCCCTAGTGCGAACAGATGAATTGTTATATTATTAATTTTTGCATACTAATTGGAAGTATTTATTTTTAGTTTTTTTCCCAGCCCCACCCACTGATATGAAGAATGAAATACCGAAGAATGGTAACAAGATTTATGTCTTAATGTGATAGTTGAAATTTGTAACAAGTAAGAAATTTCATTTAAGTTTTATCTAATTTTATTGCAAGTTCCATTACGAGATGCCACAGCAGAATGGTCCACTGTGAACTTGGGGCCGAATACTGCCACTACTTGGGGACTTGAAAGTGGAAAAATTCCCAATTCTGTCAGTGCCATGACTGGAGATGAAGGTATTGTTGGAAAAATTACTTGTAGAACAATCTCCTTGAAATGAGCAGTTCAACATTTGTGCATATTTTTTATTTTCATAGAAAATCATCTCCAAGACTCATCAAGCAGTTATTTTGGACGCCAGAAGGACAATCTTGGGTGTGGGACTCCCAATCGTGTCCGCAATCCAGAGCAAGATGAGGACCCCGGCTTTTTCGCGTATGTCGCCCAAGTGGTTCGTGCCTTGTGGGGATGCTGGTTTACTGCAGGGCGTCGTGCTTAAGCTTACATATGCACTAAAAATCAAGTACTTTATCCTTTATTCAACTGCCAACAAATATTATCACTACTGTTCTGAGATATCATTTTTCTATGACATGCGAATTGAAATGTGCCAAAATAAACCACTTTTTTCCACCAGCTACTTGGGTCAAAAAATGTAATTATTTCATCATCAGTTATTTCACAAAATTAACCAAAATACTTACTACGAAGTATTTATAACAAAATATTTAACACTTATAGTTAGATTCTTGACTATTTTTATACTCATAGAAATTTGTACAGACGATAATTTAGAAGATCCATATAAAAATATTTAGTCTACATGTTTTGGAAAATATAAATATTTATACGGAGTAGGCTACTCGATTCGACTAATTTGGCATGATTAGAATGAACTTCAAATGAAAATGAAGTACGATTATCATTAAAGTAGAAAGGAATGAATGACGGGTAACATACAAAAAACCGCTTGGTATATATGTAAATGCTATAAATACAGGAATCAAAAATATATATGTATCATTTACAGGAAAGGTAAAAAAAGGCATAAATTTAAACGTCTAGAAATGGTGTCCCATATCTCTTTATCTTCCCTCGAATCCAAGGTAAGTAGTACGTGATTCGAGAAAATACCTTTTGAGACAAAGAGTTTGATTAGTGCATTTCGTAGCAGACCAATTTTCATAGTCTTAAAATTTGCTATCTTAATCTTACATCTGGATATCCAGCTCTGGCACATCCGGATCCGAAACTCGTCACGCCAACCAAATGCCATCGACCATCTTTCATATTGCACATTAGGGGACCTTTGAAAATTCGAAGGCATATTAAGCAGGGAATTTGTAAATAAATGCTTAATTGGACACGATCAGTCACTCACCCCCACTGTCTCCAACGCACGTTCCTTTGACCGTCTTTTCATCGACTGGTCCGGCGCAAATGTGGAAATTCCGGATTCCAATGTTATATGCTTTTCGGTACATTTGACTACACTTTTCCTGTGGCGTAAGGTTCACCCATACCTAAAAATAAACATTTTAATTTGCATACTCGTAGTTGGATCAATTATGCACACATCCTACGAAGAATGTAGGTATAAACTACTTCGCCTCCTGTGAGATAATTTCTACTACCCTCGTGCCAATTAGAAATCTGTATCATATCAAATTCTCTGTTATGTAAAAATATTATTACGCATCCATTTCCGGTCTATTCATACTTTGTATTCTTACTGATTTTGTAATAAAAATGTAAACTTTGAGTCATCATAAAACCTAATTTTCTCTCACTTTCTGAATAGAAAATCATTTCTGCGTAATTTTCATGCAATGAGATACATATTTTCTAAAAGAAGACTTGTCATAACTTTTTATTTATTTTATTGACAATTGACAAGGAAGGCGTGGTACCCTTCTGGCAGTTCTGGTGCTTGATGAACTGTCAATTGTGAAAAGGTTATGAGCTTTATGTACTTGTTACTTTTTTAACCCACAATTAACTTAATTGATAATGAGTCGATAACACTTGTTGACTATTGTTACTCTTTCTTTAATAGAGTCAAAGGTAGCCGGTGGGAGTTGCAGTAATAATAATGACAATCGTTGACAACGAACGACTTCCTCTCTTAATTTGAGAAACTCTTCTTTACGAATAGAAATATTGAATTGACATGATTTTCCGTAGTTAAAATAATTGTTAATTAAAATTTAGAAAATTTTACCTGCTGCATCTTCGAGGATAATTTGCCTTTGATGGATTGTGACCCAAACCCACTCGAAACGCATTTAATTTCGCCTTGAAGCGTCTGTAGTGTTGCTTCATCGTCATTCGGAAGACAAACGGGAGCAATTGTAGGCGTCCAATCGATCGGTCTTGATAGTTTCAATAGTGCTAAAAAAATACAAGAATTTTGAAAAAAAATGTGTCTCCATTGTTATTGATGGCATTGTTCTCTGCAAGATTTTTTTTCGCAAACTCGTAAAAAACCATCTTTTGCATAATTTCACTTTTAACAGTGACTCCAACCTGTGATGCATTCTAAACAAAATGATTGCACTGTTAGATAATTATGTAGGGGAGCTCGAGTAGAAATAAAATAATAGAGTTCAGCCTCTTCATCATCATAACTAGATTGAATGTTGTGATTGATTTCGATTTCTTTCCCATTAACAATAATTGGGCATTGTCAACCGTTTTAGCGGTACATGAGATGTAAGTAGATAAGCACCGCTCTTGTAAAAAGTGACAGTTTTGCATATCTACAATTCGCCAAAAAATTGTGCAGACACAATTGTCGCAAAGTTAGCTAACACACCCTTTTTGAAACTTGCGTTGCAGTCAGTGGCCGCGGAAGCTGTGGGGACGTTAACATTGTAGGATAGGGGAGGGAGGGGTTAATATGTATAAGATGTGCAGATGATGAGGACATCCTGGGGACATTTTTCCCCTCTCCACTCACTTCCGCGGCCACTGGTTGCAGTGCGTACCTGAATTCTCACCGTGCAAAACCTTAACCATCTAGTTTTGACCAAGTTTTTCCCCGTGTAAAATGACAGTTGAGCCAAATCCTATCGAATGTAATCATCATTACTGCTCATGGTAAAAATGATTGAGAAGTGATTTCGAATCCAATTTGTTCAAGTGTCAGTCATCATGAGCGAATGCGTATGTGGTGTGGGTTCGCCTCTCCCAATATTTTATTTTATTACTTGTATTGGCACTCGCCACCCAACTGTCAAGACAATTACGACAAGTCACAAATTTCAAGGCTATGAAAGATGATTGCGGAATGATCAGCAGCAGCTCACATTCATTTCGACATTTCAATAATCATGGAAAATCTCACTTTCCTAAAGTGATGAGAGCATTATTTACTTAACTATTCGTTCATTTTTGATGGTGCAAACATTTTCTCATTCTTTGTAGTTTTGTTCGGATCATATTTTTGAATCATAATAAAAAATTGAGAAAAAAAATCTTGTAAAAAATCATATTTATAGATTTCACTCAAGTGGAAATGCAATAGTGGAGGAGTTAACTTCATCACAATCACAACATGTCGTTAATAGTTGTTGCATATAAATTAATGTATTTTACTAATGCGTGCCAAACCTCAATTAATTTGCATGAAGCATCCTGTTAAGATGAATGCTTAAAGAATATTGCTACCTGACTTGAATTCTAGCTATTGTTTTACTCACCCCGTGACTTTAAAGTGGTTGATTGATTGGATTCTTTCAATTTAGTGTAATTAGTTAAATGATTCTTCACTTTTACTTTTATCTACTGCAAATTTTTTAGCAAATAGTTGGAAAAGTTTTGTTACTTGAACTGCGATGAACTCACCAATGTCGTTGTCAAATTCCTTGAATCGCTCATGAATAAATATTCTGGAAATGCCAATCATTTTTTCAGTCCCCTCCGTCTTCGTGCGGTCATATTCGCCAGCGAGGACGTACCACGTGGTGCCCTGACCAAGTCGAAATTGTTTGCTGCAAGTGTAATTAATAATCACGGTGTTAATGAATTAATTGGATAATTATTTTAATGCCATGTTATTTTTTAATTGTTACTTTTCCAAACAATGAGAGGCTGTCAGTGCCCATTCTCTTCCTATAAGAGTCCAATCAACTTAATTTAATTGTCAAAATTATAGGTTATGCAGTTAAGTGAATTTATTACCTATTAAGACTCCTCCACACCAGTGACCCTGTGATGCATGGTAAACAAAATGATTGCTCTATTAGATAATTGAGGCAGCTGAAGTAGAAATAAAATAGTATGAAAATAATGGTAATACCATGAACCCAAGAGTTGGATGGCTTAATTGTAACGAAATCTGAAATTGTAGTCATTACACATGTAGTCCTTACGCATATTAAACATATAACAAACTTTTACCATCATTAACGTTGGACTTGATCGCCAAAATCAGCGCATTTTTAATCATTCACAGCTCTAAGAATTTATTTAAAAATTCGTGACGGTCATTGTCACTTTAAAAAAATATACACTCCAGATTTTGAAGGAGGAGGTCTCAAGTTTAGTAAACTTTCAGAAAAATTGGAGCTCATCTTAAAAAACTCACCGACATTCTACCAATCAACTTACTACCTACAAATTTGTCGTCCAGAATTTTAAAATAAATTCCCAGAGCCAAGAAATCGTTAAAAATTTACGGATTTTACCGATTTTGGTTATAAGCCATCGAGTCCAAAGTTTATAATAAAATTTCGCCGTTTCTACTAACCTGCCATGGCCACGCATACGGGGCAGAAACCTGACCCCCCACAATCCTTCCGAGGGGTCCATTGCCATCACTGGAGACATTGTTGTTCAATGCCCATTTCATTACTCTGGAGTTGACGCGATTGCTGCGGCTTCGACTGCGACTGGCCCCCCTGTGACCTGCCGTAGTGTCGTTGGTGACCATGCGAAATAGCTCCCTCCCTCGACGCCTCCCTTCGTTTCGTGGCGAAGGATCGATCAGTCTTGCTCTGGCTTCGCGATGTGTGTAAAATATGCTTTTTCCGCATTCTGAAAATTCCAATGTTGCATCAGTCAAGTAATATTTTAAGTGAAGTCACACAGTTGCCGCGGAAGCTATGGGGACATCTGGGGACATTAACGTTGTCAGATGGGGGGAGGGCAGGGGTATGGGTGGATGATGGGGACATTGTCCCTCTGTTCCCACGCTTCCGCAGCCACTGCTCCCAAATATGAATCAATTGATCACACAGTAACTACATGCATACAGTTGTGTCATAAATGTTTTATGACGTGCCATGACCCCTGCGAATGCTATTTTGGTTACTACTAATCAGCATATCGAATTCTTGACCAGGACCAAAACGAATCAGTTTGGTCACTCCTATAACCTCATGAAATTAAAGGCGTCTTCTGTGATATTCAAAGGATTGTGTGGATCAGATATTCTTAATTGAAAGGGTATTTAAGCATTCAATTGTGCAGATTAAATCAAGCGATGAGAAGAAAAACACGTTGAAAAAGTATCCACGATTCGGGAATGAGGTTGATTATGATAAGGTGAGTGATTTCCTCGGCTCGTGATTTATTTATTCACTTCTTCAAAAGTGAAATCCGCATATTGGATTTGGTTTCAAATTCGACATAATGAAAAGCCACCAGTGCCGACCGATTTTTTCGCATAATGAGCAATCACAATGGGTCGAAAGAGTTAAAAATGGTGTTCAATTCAAGAGAGGAATTTAATGAATGGAGCCATTAACTCGAATTAGTTGGAGGCTTTTTCGCACTCGAGTTGACTTCGCCTTAGTTTCAATTGTAATTTCCGTTAACAATTTTGTACCACGGATAGAAAAAAGTTAATATTTATCTGACTTAATTTTAAAAACATACATAAATAGCTTCTGGAATCATTCGATTAATTGAACGTGTGTACACAGATTTTGACCAAACCAGTGTCAATTGATTACAAAAATAATAGTAAAATTTGAAAAAGGCACTATCACCAAATTTGGCAGAGATATTGCATCGAACATAAGAAAATCCGCAGTGGAAGGTGTAAAATTTGTCAGCTTTAGGTCGCGTTTTCTCCTCCTCGGATGCAAATATCTCTGCCAAACCAGAACACTTGCAGATCTTGTCTTTTGCCATATTAGTTAAATTTGTGATCGATTGACACTGGTTTGCTCAAAATCTGCGAACACACATTATGAGACCTCCATTGTAAGTAGATATGGATTTTTTTGTTTATATTAAAAGGCGCATTGTCTTTCCCCCGATAATAATGACCAATAATGATTTATTGGAAGCATGTCGTGATACTCCTCGTCTATGGAAAGTAGTGCATTGAAAAAGCCAACAACGGACAATTAATCAATATTCATCTCATCTTGATCCATTAAGAGTAAAAGTTGAATTTTCTATTTGTAGTAAAAAATCTATATGTATTGTTCTTACTCCAATTGTTTCATGTCGCAAAAACTGAAACATTAGGGCAAATCCTGTTTCTTTTTTTGTCGTTATTTTTAGGACCAGATTTCAAAACGGGATCAAATTTAGATGATAAAATATTTATGTACCTGCACTATTTTCTGGAAACATGTAATACCCAAATACATCCGTGACCATAAAGGTGACCAGGATTATGGCTGTTACGAGCACTTTAGGAGAGCATGAGCCAGTTTTTCTGCTCTTAAAAGTCCTGAATTTCCCATGCTTCTCCATCACAAATCTTGCCATTGTCCATGTGCACAATCCAGCATGACAAAAACTTTCACTACCGTTTCTCATCTTAGTTTACAATTCTTCAAAAATTCACTGATTTTCACTTTAACAATTTCTCTCGTACTTTGAAATACTGCTGATCATTATTTTATTTTATTTATTCACTCATTCTAAAGATTCCAATTTTTTATTTCCACAAAATCTCACACTGCACAATGTTCAGGTACATTAACGACCTTCATCATCACTGGCTCACTGACTGAGTAAAGTTAGTCGATTAGGCACTTGCTGTACAGAAATGTGGCCACTTTTTAAAATCGCATCAGCCCCTCACACCTTCTTCTTCTTCACTCTCCAACTCTCAATCTCGTAATGAGCTGCGAAACGTAGCAAATGTCATTTATTTTTCGCCTTTCATCTCATCTCCCTCTTACCTTTGGACGTATGGAGGTACGTCTCAGGCAGGCCAAACAATGGGGATATCAACACACATTTCTCTTTATCATGATATCACTGCAACTGCCAATCACCACCACCCATCCATCCATGGGCTGGGGAACCCTTAATTTAATTTCTTGGTAAAAGTTCTCCTCGTAAATGATGACAGATAAATGGCTGCTGCATAACAGATCTCGTAATAGAATGTGAATGATTTATATCTCAGGGAGCGTGTGCCTCCCATGAATGCAATCACTGCAGCATCACTATTTGACTCCCTGTGTGCATGTACAACCTGTTTTTGCCTTGTTTTCTTTACGCGAATTATTATGATTGTGTGCATAATGTAAAAAAAACGCAGTTCACTAAACTTTTGTTCACTAGTGCACTAAACCAAGGTTAGTTAAATGCAGGGAAAAAGTGAGACAACAATGGTAACAATTTATAATAATGTAGTTATTAATGTCTCATGCTCATGGATAGTAAACAGCTCATGTAAGCAAGACTTCCGCTCATTAATAATATAAATAAAAGTGAAATTGTGGTAAATCAGGTATCATCACTGACGAATGTCAGCACTTGGTATTTTTTTGTAAGAAAAATTGAAGCCAAATTACACGTTCCAAATATATGGCAGATTTACAAAGGTACATATTTCGACTCGTGAGAAAATTAATGAAATGCATCAAATTAAATTAATTTATAAAATAAATAAACGATCCGAAATTTTTGTACTTTTTTCCTGAAGATGAAAGCTAGTAATTTTGAAAAAAATAAAATCAAGTAAAAATCCCAGTAAACTGCAAAAATGTCTGACCATAAAATTTATGAAATTGACCATAGTTTGAATCACACAGGTGACATGTCAGTCCACCTTAAATTATACGGTAGCACTGCTCCCATCATCTTCATTTCATTCGACATGGATCATTACTTTTAAAAACTTAATTTAAATCTTAATTTGATTCCACCTTCATTTTTATTTCATTCTTTGCATTGCTTCGTAGCCCACTAGCTGTGCATCAGCATCTCCCGTCTGTCTCTCGTTAAAAAGACATTGATTTATTTTCACATGCTCACCACACTTCTTTTCTTTCTTGTCGTAAGAAGAAGACCGGAATGGAAATCAAAACGTGTGTCGCTAATTTATGGGGATAAAGTAAAATGAAGATGTGCTCCCTGCTGGCGTTCCTTGTTATCAAAATGCAGAAAGTGAAGTTGCAGACAGTTGTCACAATTATAACAACACAAGACAGCGACGACGATGACGATGATGACGACGACGACAGTCCTTCATCATTGCCACCTGAATTGGACGTTTAATTTTAGCAGCTGTACGTATAAAGAGATGACTAATTTAAATTCTGTTCCTCCTCACTTTCATTCGAAATGTGGTTGGTAAATATGTGTTTATAAAATGGATAATAATCTATACATTTATATGATTGATTGCATTCAATTCATAAAGATGCAAATTCAAATTCTGTCTGTTCTTCGACGAGATTTATCTGAATTTCGTATAATAAACAACGGAAATGTGAGAGGACAGGTTTTAGAAATTTATCAACCTATTGCATAATTTGAAGAGGGTTAACCTAACGTAGATATAAGTTTAATACATGAGATTTTCTAGACTGCAGAAATATTGTGATCATAATTCAGCATAGGTTGTACTTAATTACCCTACAATCATCCAAATTCTTACATGACATTGGCATTGGGGAATAAATACCTGTTTCAAATCTTCAATTTTCTTTAAAAAAACTGGATAAATGACAAGTTTTTTAACGGTTCATGTGACATTTCTTCATCACGACGACACGAAACAAAAATTCCACCTAGTCGTCCAACACAATACGAGTCGTGTTGAGGTTGAGTGCGACAGATAAGTCTAACTAGATCTATGTACCTTCATATGCAGCTACCTAAAAGTCGTAGCGTCGTGTTATTACAAATAACGAGAAAGTTTGATAAAATCTCAAAAAAATGTAAATTTGAATCTCACTGCGAGTCACATCTGCATTAATTGGGTAAAGTTGAATGTGTCAAGCTACTAAACTAAACCTCATCTAATTTTTAGTTCTTCACTACTGCATACATCACATAATAAGTACTCGCATTATGCATAAAAACGCACCGTAATTTTCCACTTTACGCTAATTATCAAGAAATTTGATTGTTGACGGGATAAAATGTTTGACAGAAAACAAGGGTGATATATGCAAAATACTTGACTTGATTTAATTAGGCTTCGACTGATGATCACTCACTAAATAGATTTGATACATTTGTAACTTTTCATGCGAAACTTTCCGATTTAGTGCATCCTTTGTAAATGTATGTACATATGCACAAAAAGGTTCGTACTTAAAAATAGAGCAAAACCAGGCGTAACAATGAATTGTACTTTATATTGTAGGTTAGTATCATAGGTTAGTATTTAGTGATTTACCAGGCTGCATTTTTTATTGCTCTTTAACTTAACCTGTGTTTTTCTTCTAGGAAATGTCTCTCTTGTTCGGTATTCAGGACATTTAAGGTCATTCAGTCCATGCAGTGTAACCACAGGGTGGATATGCATTTATTTTAAAGTTTTTTATTTGATGACGACCGACGGTCAAACTTTCTGGGTGTGTTCCCTAACTAGCATATTTACATCGCAAAATATTTTTACATATTTATAGATTTTCAGACATAAGTATTTCTGCTATTATTTGAAAAAATTGGTACGTACGTCTTTTACATATTTTTTCAAAAATACATATATTTTGTAAATATTTCAACGACACGAGACGAATTTTTTTTTGTTCAAAGAAATGCCACAACAAAAAAATCAGAAGAGTTCAGAATGCAAATTTTGCGAAAAACTTATACTCTTTTTTCGTATGGGTACATGTCTATTTCGTAAATATTTCAGCATTTTTTCGAAAATACATATCCGCCCTTTGAATCTAACAGTGTGCACTTGCTTCTTGAGTATTTTTTAGCACGTATTACATCTCAATAACATTCTCATCGAACGTATATACGTAGAGCTACACGATGATAGGTCAGATGAGCCAAGGAATGGATTAAATCTTCTTCTTTTCTCATCCAATGTTCCAATGATCTCATTGTATGCGAGCGTTCTTTTGAGATGGATAAGTCGAAAAAGAAGACACGAACTGCTCCTTTGAACAAAAAGTATTTCACATCGTTGCAGCATCATCGCATACATATTTTTGTGCACATTCTTATTCATTTTAAGCAGAATTACGATACGGTACAAGTATTGAACCCATCATTTCTTGCGTCGTTTTTTACTCTATTTTCAAACACACAATCCACTTATTTATTACCTGTACGAGAAATGTACATACGCGTACTTATAGCTGTTATTGAATTTTTAGATAAAAAAAGTTGAATAATTTCTCACAATGCAATATCATCAAGGTTTTCGGAGGAGCTACATATGATTAAAGAGGTCGTTTGACATATGGTAAAATAAATATCGGCTCTTTTCTTACCTGTGATTTGATGCAGCCCTAATTTTGTTACATTGATTGTGTGGTTGATTCGTGTGGGTGAATTGAATTGATGATCTGAAGCGATCCAGACAAAAAAAAATCACCGTTTCATCTTTTATCCATATAATAATACCACCGACCACGAACTCTGTTTGCATCCTTTTGTTCAATTTTTACCCATCCGACATCCAATGTTAGCAAAGTCATTATTCAATTTCAATAATGCAGTTGTACAACAGTTTCTTTTCGCCAGAGTTATTTTTTTGCGTGAAATATTGGAACATTTGTTACAAAAAGTAAAACGGGATGTTTTTAGATAAATGGTTTTATGTAGGGATTAGAAAAAAGTGAGATGGGTTTCTTCACAGGAATTGATTTTGTATATTTTTTTTCATATAGGGCAAAAGCTTTCCATGTCAAAACCATATTAATTAAAAATATTTGTAGTATTATAATCAGAGGGTGGATATGTATTTATTTTCATTTGATGACGACCGACGGTAAAACTTTGTGGGTGTGTTCCCTAACTCTCATAGAACACAAAAATAATAATAAGTTGCATGGTTTTACACATATTTCTAGATTTTCAGACCTATAAATATCTCCTCTTATTTGAAAAATATGTAAATCTTTTCAAAAATACTTATTTCGAAATATTTCGGTTAAATATTTAGACGAAATATTTTTGCAATATTAATTTCGAAATATTAATAGAAATTAGACCACAAAAAATCCAGAGTATTAAATCCTAAAGTACAAATTTTTCGAAAATTCTTATTTTTATGTTGTTCGTACATACATATTTCGTAAATATTAACTACATATGTGACCCATTTTTGGTAAATATAACCGCCCTCTGATTATAATTTAATTAATTAATTAATCAAATGTAAAACTTCAGAGTGATCTTTTATAACATTCAAATCGGATGTTTTTTAAAGTCCGGATATATGTGGGTCACTTCACCACCGCTGGTTTCTTTCATTATTTTAAGTTTTTCTACAAAAATGAAACCGCACTTCATCCCATCCTCTACTCCCAAGCCATGCACTCCGTTCGCAGTAATAATAAGCCAACAATGGGATTCTTTCTTCATTGAGTCCATTGAAACTGAATTGAATTTAACGACGACAAGGTCTCTCACTAAAAAAATAGCAACAGCAGCAGCCGACACGCTGTTTCTCTGTGTACCACCAACTGATTGAAGCTTTGTGTAAGTGAACTGCTAATGATCTCACCTCTTCTTCTTCCCAAACGAGCTATGTACAAACTTTAATCTTTATTAGCATTCTCATTTTCTTTTCGAGCAGAAGTAAAGCTTTTTAGCAATTTTTGCAAAAGTGTGAAGGTCTCCCATGAAATTATTGAGTTAATATTATCACGAGAAAAATAGGTTGACTCGTCAAGTTTTGTGAAATGGAGTGTACGTGCTTTCGTCCGTTGAGGATGAATTTACACCTTCCTTCTCATGCACTCGCTCACATCCGGTCAGCGACGACATGTGGATGTGTGTAACGTAGGTGTGGGATAATAAAAATTGGGAGATGCACTACCGCCACCATTTTACATGATTATGATTTTATTGTAATGGTAAGCCATTAAGTTTCCCTTAATCATGCGATGCGTCGAGGTAGGACAGAGGGACATATCAAAACCGTTAAGTAGGAAGCTCAATTATAAATATCACAATTTTTATACCCATATTTTATTTCAATCATCAGAGGCACTTGAGATATTAATATTACTCAGGATGGGGATGGAAACCATGTTCAGCCCGATTTATTTTTTGACCACTTTCGTTTGAGAGACTAATTCTTTAGAAACAACGTTTAGTACGACACTTGCGCAGATGTGCAAAATTTATATTTCGTACTTTAGGATTTGAATCACGATTACAGCCTCCATTCGAAAACTCTGCGTTTTCGCGAACTGCGGCGGCCACAAATCACTGAATTGTGCGCATCTGCGTTAGTGTCGCACTAAATGATGTTTTTAAAGATGATCTTTCAAAATGAGAGGGTCAAAAAATAATCTGGGTTGAACATGGTTTGCGTCCCTACATAGGTTATTATTTACGTATAAGAAATATTTAGCGTTACAATTGAAAACCGTTATTCGTCTGACATACCTAATGTAATTATTAAAAACAAAGCATTAATGTCAATCAATCGTTAAATATTCCGTACAATAAATCAAATTAAAATCAGAACTGCACGTCAAATCAACACAAAAGTAAAACTATTGACGGGCGAGTTTAAAAAATGTAAATATTTCCCTTAATAATCCCGAATGCATAAAAATCTCGACGTACATACACCAGTAACCATTCAGTTTAGAAATGAAAAGTGAAGAGGATGACAAAGCGTAATCTGGTAAATTGATAAATTCTGTGGTGAAATCAATGCATTCAATTAGGTCGGTGTGTTGACGATTTTGTTTCAAGCTTTCCAATTTCCCAAGACATGACTGCACTTCGGGATGAGGTTTTATCGAGCTGAAAAAAATTAAACATGAGACATTGTGAATACTAATTGTCAATCAAGTCATCTGCTTATCGTTGATGATGATAAGCAGGAACTATTTATATAGTTGGCATATTCAGAGACTTTTGCTAAAAATATTAATAACTCAGGTCTCATTGAATATTCGTAGAAAACAAGTCAAATAGTTAGTTAAAAAATATGGATTATTACCAAAATTGCTAACAAAATTGCGAATTATTAGCAAAAACTCGGTATTTGTAACAATTGTCATAAGTATTGTCTTATCTTGCTAATCCAATGAAACAGAAGAAATTATAGAAAACCAATCTATTGCTGAGATTGGAAATACATTTTTATGGCATCTGCTAACTAAACGAAATACATAATTGTATGCATGTGCTTAGGGTTATTTTTGAGGCGCAAGTCCCAATCCTACATAAAATATATTTGTCATTAATACCTGCGTGATTGAACAATGCATAATATGCAAATAATGTTTAACCCTTCCCGTACCACTGATTTTTTAATAAAATTTATCTTGAGTACGAAGTCAATTTCATAATTACACCTGATAGCAACCCCCACCACTAATGAATTCATATAATTCTTCATTTGCACTTTCCCATTTTCACTTTCTGCGTGCATATGTATGGATAGGAAGAAGATAGCGGAAATGTTAGCATTTGTCCATTAATAACATTTGCAAATATTATTTTATTGTCAATAAATTTCAGCTAACCACTTCCATACATAATCACCCCTCAATTCTTATATTTTTGTAAGCCCTTGGAACCATTGTGTTGAGGAGTCGGTCAATTTTTCCAGCATTTTTTTGATGCCTGAACGGCCTCCGGGGGAAGATTCGATCATTCACCCATGGCGATTCCCATCCCTCAGTCGACCTGACACACTCCTTCGCAAAGTCCGTAATATTAAACTTTTCCTCCAGTTCGAAACACCCCGTGAGAAAAGTGTCCACATAACTTTGGACGATTGGGTATTCTCTCGTCGGTTCTTCGCTGTATTCCGGCTTGGTCACGTACATCCAATATTGTCCTTGACCTAGCGTCTTCCTAGCTATAATTTATTTTTTTACAGTCTAAATCAACGTAATTCAAAGATGATCTCACATGGGGAGGCTCCCAATGTATGCTCTTCGATTTTTACAGAACAATTCTCAGCGATCGTAAATTTAATTAATATGAAATTTGTAACAGGCATTATCTACAAATGGTCACGTTTAGTGAAGATATTTGCATCCAAAGGCGAGAAAACATGCCATAAAGTTGAAAAATTTTGCACTGTACAAATTTACTGCTCGATTTCTCTTCTTCGGGTGCAAATATTTCCGTTGGCAAACATGTCCATTGGCAAATAAGCATTTTGCAAATTTTGTATTAATTTTTGTGATCGATTGACACTAATTTGCATACGCTGGGAGACCTCCATTGGCCGTGTAACTTACTCGCTAGCATCTGAATCTTGCTCATGGGGACTTCCTCCCTGCAGTAGAAAGACTCACGGGCATCATAGTCAAGCAAGGCTGCGGCGTTCGGGAGCTTGTAAACGGCCGCTACAAAGGTTTTCCTGCTGTCTGCGACCACGACGCCAAGATACGTCGTACTGTAACTGACCGAGGTCCCCTTACAGTTCCAGACACGAGAATAGCCTCGAACTTTAACGGGAAGATTTTCCCCCGTGTTGGGCGACGTCAGATCCTTCGATTCAGTGGACATGAGAGAACCATAGCCAATTATGTACTGACCAAGGCCTGGAGTTGCGGAAGGATTGCAGGCGAATTCATCGTCATTGCCACTCAAACTGATTTGGCGAGGTTTGGTGTCAACTTTCTGTGCATTTTTTGGATAGATCATTAAGAATTTGTGTGCATACCAATGGAAATGTGGAAATTAATTACTTACAGATAGCGGGGCAGTCACTATTGGTACATGGGAGATGTTATAAGCATTTTCACCGTCGTCGTTCTCACGAGTACTTTCTACGTCCAGATCTAGGTGGGCGTCATACGCGTCGTCAATTGATTTCTAAAATGGCAATGGTTTAACAACACTTCAACATATTAATGTGTACTTGATATTAAATACCTGATGTCCAACATTCACCAAATTAAGAAACAGACACAGCAGAATGACGAGATTCCTTAAAAATTTTGATAATTCCATCTCTAAGAAAACTACTGAAAAATGATCTTGCCCATGAAATCAATGGTTCATCATCCCGTTCTGGAATAACAAGTTTTAAAAGTTCAAGCAGTATTTATCGGGCATGAATTTCACTAATATATTTTAAATTTCAAAGTGGATATGACGCAAAAATTGAATGAAATTTAGATTAGCAACATGTGTCTTTATTGTGCTGAAACTAATTGATAGGATGCATTATAATGCCACGAGTAATAAAATATTTAAGTAGGTAAGTAATTGTTTAATTGTTGTAATTCTCAATCGTGAATTTATTTACATCCATACATTGCTCATTATAATAAGATTTATTACTTGACACCCATGAATTTAGGCAGGAACTCTTTGTTGTATTATCTATTTGACTCTAGTAGTGGAATATTTATTTACAACGTCACGGTCACAATCCAGGCAGTCAGTGGCTCCTAATTTACAAGTCACATTGATGCCAACTGCAGTTTACAATAATTACAATTCCTCCTAATCGACGTACCCATGTATGTAATTGAGCAAGATATGTACGTACGTAAGTACGTTAGAATTCACTCTATTTATAAATAATCTGTGACGTCTTAATCTGGGATTAAGAATAAATTAATCTAATACATCATCGCTGATTGAATCTGCATCTCAATCTGAAATCCATCCATGTTTAAGCCATCAATTTTATCGTGTTCATATTTTAGCCTTAATTTTCTTCTAGCACGTTGCAGCAGTTTGATGCAGAATACGACGAACATTATTGTTCCGGTAAGGAGACAAAAAATGACCGCTGCTCCGGCTAATATCGTAGCTGCGAAGAGAATCCCAAGAAATAATTTCAGTGCAAACATGGAAATTTGTGATGCTTCTTTCTGGATTTTGTACGGAGTCCTCCAGAAAGCTGATTGAGTTGTTACTACAGATAATTGTTAAGACAGTTGGATTAATGTACATACGTTAGCTTGAGGATTTTTATTAGGTAAAATTTCATACAGGTTTATCAATTTTCTCAACTCGGGGAGAAGGGCAGATTTGTTTGACGCTATCTCGCGTAAATCTTCGATTAGCTCCATTTTACTGTGACGTAAGTAGTGAGGGCTATCTGCAGTTTGAAATAATTGTACGTTGAGTATATGACTTAATTTCAAATTACTTGCTAAAATATTTAATATTTTACCTAAAAATTGTACATATTTTTTGACTAGGGTAGTTTCATAGGGTTGTTTTCTTGCAACTAGCTTCATTCTTGCATTGTTTTATAATTATAATCACTACTAGCCATATACATTTGGTTGTTGCTAAAATTGTATAATAAACAAAATCAGTTGTTGCCATTATCATTAGGCATGCTTCTTAGAAGAGTAGGCTTATGAAACTTGACGATACTATGTGAATAGGCTACAAATTTCAACCCTTCTTTAGTTTTCATGACGTGAAATTGTGCAAACATATAATCCGCTTTTGAGATGGATATGCAAATACTGGGACATGTGTGTTTCAGTGAAAATATTTTAAGCGATAATTTAATAAAACAGAATGTACTGGTGTGCTACACGCGTAAAATACACGCGTATAATTTTGAATAATTTTAAAGACAGTAAACTAAATTTTGGAATTGAGAAAATTATGGAAGCATTTTAGATGTATGTAAATATTTGTTTGAGTATGGAACCCTTCCCACGGAATGACTATTTCGTTTTTGTAGACAGGGTTTTGATCACTCTTAAATTACTTGAGAGGTCAGATCAATTGGCCCACTCCTGCATGACATGGCTTTCCGGAGTATGAATGAAAATAACGCAATGAAGGATGACACACTGCCAAGTTTAATCAAAATACTTACGAATAATTTTTTGTTTGGTTTAGTTTAAACCTTACAGGAATTGTTAAGGTTTTATAAAAGTGTATTCTTTAGTGACCAACTCATGATCAGGCGAGATTTCCATCTAAAAACATGTTACATTTGTGCATTAACCTGTTACTTTGTTACTTGGTCACTTTGACCCCCACCAAAAGCAATGGTGATGGCGAGGGTGGGCCCCCAGCGACGTGGTGGAATCCTGACTTCCAGGAAGAGTCCGTCGACTACGGTAACCCACAAATTATTACACAACCACCTCCGCCAGTGCAACCCGTCGACACGGCTGCACCGGAACAAAACAACTTAAATTATGATCTTCCCATACAACCGCGATCTCAAGTGCCCACACCACCACCCTACACGCCCATCGTATTTCCACACCCGTCCTCAATATCGTTCCTGAATGGACAGCGAAGATCTAGGAACAGCAAGGCGAAAGTGTCCGCCATTCTGGTTGGAGACATCTGCGACCCCACGGACCTAGTTTATAGCAAGTGCTCGGGAAACGCGCAGTGTGTTTTGAACGAGGGGGATAATTTGTACAAGTGTAACTGCAGTTTTTCATACGAGGTGAGCATTTCAATTAAATAAGTGCGCCTTTATAGCGTTGTATTTAAGTAAATAACTACATCTACGTTTAAATTTTAGGTGACCTCTGCCAAAAAGTGTATGAGAGCTTGGGGTCATTATTGCGACAGCAAGGACGCTTGCAACCACGAGGCGTTTCTATCCTGTATCGATAACCGGTGTGAATGTGAGAATTCTGAAGTTTATCAAAAATCTCCGGATAGATGCAGGAGCAAAGTGGGTGGACCTTGTTCAGTAGCTTCCGGTCCGGAATGTGTCAATAATGCAGTTTGTCTCTCGTTTGACACGTATGTAACAATTTTTATTTATTTTAGCAAAGAAAAATTTACTTTTGTTTTGATGAGTATTCACTTAACCAACACTTGAACCTTTGACTATTTCTCCCGGCTGTATCACTGCGACACATTCCTTAACAAAACGGGAATAGCGTTGGCCCGGAGGACAGCTAATTACCGGCACTGTTCAGGAATAATTAACTAGCCTTTGTCGATAGGAAAGTTAAAATGTGCGTTATCAAACCATCGTCCGATAAGCTCATCCTCATGAACTCCATCGATACACATTCTTGTTTCATAAACGAAAATATTGGACTCGGTGGACATGGATTAGACGACCTAAGAGTAAAATTGCAATTCATATAAATTTTGGAGTTTCAAGGCTAAAGTGCTAAAAATTTCAACCTGCAAAGACACACTGATTCTCCGGACGTGTCGGATGATTGTGACCTGAGAAGAGCACTACTCGCAGAAATAATTACAATTACAAGAGTGAATTTTACCTGCGACATCTTCCACTATATTTTCAGTAAAGTTAACATTACACTGTATTTAGACTCTAAATTTTAGAGCAGGAGTGTTGTTGACCACATGATCACAAATCTTCAATACATCTGACTCCACGTACGCTGTCCTTGCTCAACACGATTTGGCAATTTCAATTAAACTCACTTAATTTTATGGTTCAGCAAAATGTTGTATACGCATTAGGTTAAATATTTGCAGTGTAAAAGTATTCAACAAAAATGCTAATAATTTCAGATATGGTCGGATCTCACGCTGCATGTGCAAGGACGGTTTTGTGGAGACATCAAGCGGCGAATGCTCCCCAGGGGTATACAACAATTCTTATGCAACAATTTATCCACACCTGGTCAAGAGTTGCTAAAAAATTGGTATGTATGCAGGTGGGGATGCCATGTCATGGGAAAGGAGGCTGCAACCCAGAAATACCCCTCGTGTGCAAGGAAGGGGTTTGCTCGTGCAGGGAAGCAGTGCATGCATACGATACCGAAACCAACTCCTGCGTTGGACTTGTGGGGGCGCAATGTTGTACAAATTTTGATGGGGTGGACTGCCCCTACAACGTCACGAATGGGTGTGTCTCTGGTGCATTTTGCAAGAAAACGAGCAGAACTCTGCCCGGGAGGTGTGCCTGTCAGTCCTACAACTTGGAGTCGGATGAAAGGACTTGCAGTCCAAATCCAACGTTTGGTCAAATGGTGACAGGGGGAAAGGTATACTAAAATTTAAAAGGAGATGCAGTTGTAATGTCATCAATTTGTAAATAGATGTTCAATTAAAGATGAATTTCTTTATGTAAATACAAATCGTGTATTTTATTGTGAAATAATTTACAATTTTCTGGGGGCTATAAATATTAGGCAGTTAGCAAAGCTACGTTTTTCTCAAATTTCCATAAGGAAATATCTCTTAAGTTCGGCAAAAAATTTACGAAGCTCAAGCTGAAACCATTGTCCTCTGAATATTTTTTACATTGTCTCCGAAAATAACTCAAAACACTTATGGAAATTTGAAAAATGTAGCTTGTATAACTGCCTATTTTTTAATGCAAATAAAACAATTAGTGATTTCTGTATTTTGTTCATGTGATAACATATTTCAGGACTAGTAGTCCAACCGTGCCTAGAATTACTGTAATTTTACAGTCATGAACGCTGGCACCGGACTCTTCATCATCGTAAATGCCCAAATTCATTTGATCGCTTTGTGGGGCTTGCGTAATTCGTGGGGTCGGACTGACGTTTACGTTCTTTTTATTGTCCAATAACTCTGTTGCATTTAACCTCTTGGCCAAATTTCCGTACGCATTTTCAGCCACAGTTTTACCCAGCGTGCCAACCTGTCCGGCCGCCGTCAACGCTATGATTCCCACCTGTCGTGCCGTATCTCGAGCAACCGGGACTACTTTTTCCGCCGTGGACACCGCAACCGACTTAGTTTGATTGAGGACCGTTTTCCCGAAAGAGCTCACAATCTCGGCCAGAGTTCTTTTAACTCCGAAAGGGTCCGTGATTGAGTTGAGAGATTTGGTCGTCGTTTGCCCTTGTTCTTGATCATTTGATGGGAGAATTGTCGTGACGTCCGGAAGGGAAGGAGTCGACATTGCCGTGGTACGTTTCTCCTTCTGGGGACGTTTCGTTGGGCGAGGTTTCTTGTTTGGTTTCGGAGTCGACACGGTCACAGATGTTGGTACATCCGAGATCTGTTGCATTACAGGTGTAGTTGTTGGTACGTTCAAGGTCTGTTGCATTACAGGTGTGGTGATCGTGATGGGTATTTCTGGGATATTGGCAATTACTGTAACGGAATCAGGAGTCATTGGCGTCTCTCTGAAATTATTATATAATTTATGACGATGTAGATTTACTCATCTATAGAACAAAACTATTTAACTATTAAAAACATTTTACGTTTTTGCCGAATTGTCATTGATGTTAGATTGATCAGTTATTATTGTGGAAGTGATTGGCACAGTTGTCAATATATCTTCAAGAATGGGTGTTGTCTCAAATTGCGGATGTTGCATGGTTGTTGATGATAATTCCGTTCTAGTTAATTTTAACAGTGAGTTAACAACTAATATTTCTTGAAATTTAATGGCATACCTTTCCGATACTGGGACCTCTGTGGTCTCTTGTTCCAATTCTCCCTCTTCCTCCTCCTCCGCCGGTGGTTCTTCTGTCGTTGTCGTTGTTGTAGGTTTTTTGGTAAACGTCCTAAAAAAGCATTACTGTCAATATATAGCAATCTTCAATTCGGATGACCACCTACTCACCACCATGAATACATCTTTGGTTTTTTTGTAGTGGTCACAACTTGTGACCCGTCTGACCTCTTAAAGAGCTCTACGTTTATAGAAGTGACGATATTTTCATCCCTCACGAGAAACTGTCTCGCCAGTGCGAGCGCCTTAGCAAGTGTCGAATTTTCACTAATTGGTTCTCTCCTCTCCTGCTGTAATCCGTTAAAATTGTCACTCTTGTAAACTGGGAAGGAGTCCCCGTTCAATTCGTTGGTCGACGTACACCATTTGAAACTTAGGGATAAAAGTATGCAAAGAACATGTACAAATTTTATATTCCCCATGTTTCCTAAAGTCATGAGCAATCCTGAAAATAATTCGGAAACGATACAAACACACAAGTGAGGAATATTTCATGGTCGTCGTGAATATAAAGCAGTCAAGAAGACGTTCAAGTTGATTCGTGGAATTATGAAAGTCGGATGAATTAAGGTTGACTCGTTTCCTGCCATGATCCAGTACCCTCAATTTAGCTTTGAACTGATTTCATTCTGTGTCGGATCGATAAGATGACTTATCAGTTTTATTAAGGTCATTGTGCTAGGTGAGGTTTGATACACAAAATATGGAACTATGTACATATAATTTCAAAACTTTCACTCCGACATCAAATACTTCAGAGCAAACTAAATCGATAAGTAAGTTACCCCAAATTAGTAAAATATCTGTAAATCAATGTCGTTCAATTGAACAACTTTCTCCTCACAACAATATTGACGAAAGCCTTCCTGTACGCTGGCACGCTGTACGCATAGATGAACGGATTAATTGCACTGTTTCCATACCGCACCCATTTCAAAACATTGAACAACTGAAGCGAAGCCAACTCTGGTTTTACAGCTCTGATCAAGAACACCGTGTAGTACGGAACGTAGGAAATTAATAGAATTCCGACCAGAATGACCAGCTTTTTTGCGAGGTAAATGTGCTTCTTGCTGCTCGTCGCTTTCACCAATCGTTCCGTGGAATCATGACTTGCCGGTTCATGAAGGGTGAGGGGCAGTTGAAGTCGTCGCATGGACGGGAACCACTGATTGTTCCTGTTCTCATCCCCCAAACCGTTATTCCCCCGGCCACCAGCCTTCCCCTGCTCGTCAACATCCAGAGAAACCGAATCTATCGTGACCACCGTGGTGGTGGACACGCCAGAATCGGCGTCTTGTTGGAATCCACTTTTTCGCGAGGAATTTCCCCCTCTCCGCAACATCCGGTTGCTTCCCGTGTTCCGCAACACTTTCAAGTGCTGGGTGGCAATCATATAAATGCGAGTGTAGAAAATGGCCATGATGACGACGGGGATGTAGAGGATGAAAACCGTAGAAAACACGACGTGCCCGAGTTGCTTGTTGCTCTTGCATTCATACGTTTCGAGGGGAGATGATGTCGACGAAGTGCATTCGTAAGTGGTGGGGACTGTTAAAGAGGATGCTGCTGCTTGGTCGTCATCATCCGCCCAGGCAAATACCGCGATGGAGGTCACAATTCCGCCGTAGATCCAAATAAAGATGATTATGCAGACAACGCGAAAAGTGCTCATGATCTTTTTGTGGTTGAGGGGATACCTGGAAGGGAAAGTGCCTTGTGTGTACATATGTATGTAGATACTCAGAATGGAGGTATCCCAGCGTATGCGACGACACTATCTGCAAATATCTCCGTGAAACCTAAGCATTTGCAGATCGTGTCTGTTGCAATTGTCAAACTAATTAAATTTGCGATCGAGTGACACTAATTCGCTCAAAATCTGAGAGCATACGCTGGGAGACCTCTATTGTCAGTTTTCTGACCAAAGTCCATGTACATTACTTAGTTACCTGACACCAACATATCGTTCCACACAAATCGCGCAAGTTGAGTAGATGGAGCAGGAACAGAACCACAAGTGCATGATGATATAGGCGAAGCAAAATTGTTGTCCAAAGTACCACTTGTCAGTGATGGAAGTCACCGCGAGAAACGGTAAGCACAGAATTCCCACGGCAAAGTCGGCCAGTGCCTGAAAAGAGAGGAGATACTTAAAGTAAGAAATTAATCCAAATGGTAACGTTACACGCATTAAATAAACTTAACCAGGTTCGCGATAAAGAAATGAGTTGGAGATTTCATTTGACTGTATCGCGTAATGAAGGCGAAAAGGGCGAGAAAATTCCCAAAAATGGCGAAAAATACGATGGGGGTGAAAAGGGCCACTTTTGAAATGTGGGTCCAATCCCATTCAAATCCTGGTCCAAGGGGGGCAAAGTTATTCGTGTTATTGACCAAGTGTTTCATCGCGTCCATTTCGGGGGAAATCCCGTCGTCCGTTGTATTCATCATTAAGGAAGAACAGCTAACTATTTAATGCCTTCAATCCAGGTATCGGGTCAGGTATTTATGAGGTTCGAGTAGGTGAAAGCTGCAATTACATAATTAGAGTATTCGACAAATATTGCAAATTTTTATCGCATATACATAAATAGCTACAAAAATTTCGGTTGATATGATTAGGTCATCGAACTACAAGATAAATGTTATTGTTGGCGTATGTATGTATGTAAATTCCTAACCAGACAGACGGATCGTATGACACTTAACTGCGTTGCACATTAAAAGAACAAAGAAAAGAAACGGGGTCACGAATTCCACTTTTGTTTACTATAACTCCAAATTACTCCGAGACATTGCTGCTTAAGTGGAATGCGGAAGAGTTAGAATTTCAACTGCGAAGTTCGATCTAAAATCAATTTTATTGTTAACGAATTATGAGTAATCAAGTTGTGGCACTGATAAAATGAGGTATCGGTGTCAGGCACTGGGCTGTATTGTCTCCTCGTAACTAAATACATACGTGTAGGCAGCAATTCCATAAATCAAACGTTGAGTAATTTGGTTTTGGAGTAAAAATCAGGATTTTTTTTGCCAATTTTGGTTAATTTTGTATTCTAGAATTTTGCGGAATTTGGCCATGATAAATTATGTGGGATGACATCCGGTCAAATTTGGTTTCATTTACCTCGTGTTGTGGTACTCTCTTATTCACAAAGAATTATGCACTTTTTAAGAATTTTAGAGTTATTAACTCCAAAAAATGGAAGAGAGCAGAAGGGTTTAATAAGTTTGCCAACGAGGTCAGCTAAATACTAAAATTGATTATTTGAGCAGCGTTCCCACCAATCCGAACTGAAATTGTGGTGCACATAAATCTTGGTTTTATTTGCGAGTTCATTACACGAATGAGCTAATTTATCATTTGTGCTACTGACTAATCTTAAGTATATGAGTATTCGCACATTTATGTAAGTGGCATAGTAATTAAGAAGCGTAAACGTTAATTATCGAGACGGGAAACGGAAACCGAGCTCAAAGTCAAGGAGAATTACTTCGTTTTGATAAAGAAGTAACTAAGCCGATTTCAGACTGGTTATGTGTCGGTGGTTAAAAATCAATCTTATTTAGTGCATTACGTCACCTACTACTTGCAGTCTTGTCTCATTAGTTCTGTTATCACTACGATTGAGCAGTCCAAAGTACCTCAATTAACTCCTGGTTAAACTTAACAGTTACATCATCCAAGAATCATGTACAAATGTTGCACATTAAAATGTGCTTTTTTGCAAAATATGTATTTTCAATTTTGCATCTGTACCGTGTTGTTCGCCTTGTTTCTATTTTTAGATTGAGAAATACATTTATTACGATGAGGCCGAGCTGATGACTGCGTCCAAGAAGTAATCAATTTTATTAAGTTTAAGTATGCATGCAAATGACAAATTGTAATCCAATACTAAGTTTTGGTAAACCTACAGTTTTTGACTTCTGATCAAAAAAATATTTTCAAGTTTTGCAATAAAATTATTTAGTGCTTAATATTTGCTTAATATATTTAGGTTTCTCATGTCACAAATATCCTGACTTATCTGTATTTATGCATAACCGTAAAATAAAGTTACTTGCATAAAATCTGATTTAAAAAAATCATTCTCAACAAGATAAAATAAACTTTCATGAGGTTTTGACAAATATTTCCGCATCTAAAATGAAAAACCGACTTTCACCACACGTAATCTCTGCTATAGCATACCCGTACCTAAATAACAATTTATTTCTTGCTGTCAAATCAAGCCAAAAAATTCAGTATTTGTAAATTTGACGTAACGAAATATGGTATGTATGCAAAGCACTTTCTCCAAATACCACCTATGCACATACATAAATACTAGAAGAATCTGTAAATAAATGTTGCAACGCTTCGACAAATCATTGGAAAATCCCGAAATTGACCAAATTCCTGAAATTCCTCAAAAGTGACAAAATCAATCAACCCCCTCGAACACAGGGCGAGGATGGGGTTGGTCGCGTAATGGGTTCCCTTTTCTCATGTCGGGCTCAAAATTTATCACTTCCTCACAAATTCCTTCACCCCTCAGCCAAATTCCAGTCTGCATGCAATCAATCAATCAATGCTTAGCGTTACAGTTTACAACAATCGTCGTGAGGTAGAAACAAATACAAACAAAATAGCGATTCTTCTACCCACCCACCCACCTCACACACATCACACCAAATACATTCCTCTCATCCTCATTGTTACTCTCGAGAAGACGGATTGTTGTTGGATTTCTTCTTCCACTTCTTGTGCCGGCAAAGTCTTTAAGATTTTGGTTGTTTGGAGGATGGATGGAGACCCATTGAGAAGTTTTGTTCACAACAAAATTATGAAGTGGTGGTGGCAGAGAGCTGAATAATGGAGCTTTCATGTTCCATCCACTTTTCAATGTCTTGTTGATACAGATAAAGGTTGGTCGGCGAGTGAGGTCCTCATCTTATGGATGCATTTCCATCAATAATCAAGGTGGCATTTTTGGCAGGTTTATATACTCGCTTGCATCACAAGAAGAAGAGGATTGAGCTACGGACTTATAATAACTCTTAGGTAAGAAGTAAGGGTTTCAAAATTGTGGAGGGACGAAATCCCACCAAATATTGTTATTACTTTGAATGGAGGTCTCCCAGTGATGCTTTACGATTTTGACGAAACAAGTTCCAATCGATGACAAATTCAATTAGTATGAAATTTGCAAAAGATACGATCTGCCAATGCGAAGGTTTGCCAGCGATATTTGCATCCGAGGAAGAGAAAACTCGCCTTCAAGTTGACAATTTCACACATTCCCAATTGATTGCGCGTTTTCTCCTCTTCAAATATCTCCGTCAAACCTGAGCATTGGCCGATCGTGTCTTTTGCAAATTTCATACTAATTAAATTTGTGATCGATTGACACTAATTTAGTCAAAATCGGAGAGCATACTCTGGGAGACCTTTTACTATTACATAGTTGGAGCGACTCTGCCTGAAAAGTGAGACCATTAACAAGAGCAATTTGTGAGACCCAATCGTTGCCTGAGTCCTGATAAATTATGACGTTTATATTGCACGTAGAAATTATTTTGATGGAAACTTTGGTGTGATGGAACTGGAAATGTTAATGGATCGAGGGTTGCGATGTAAAATTTGTTTTTAGCACTTGGTTGCCTTCGTCAAGTGCAATGTAATTTGACATGGCCTTGGAAAAGGTGTCTTAATAATCTTATCAAGAGGAGTCAAGTAAATGGGTTGCTTGTTCAGTCAAGTGATGGGTCGTCTCTTGTCTTGAATTGTAAAATATATTTATTTATGTATCTGGGATTATTGAAAGATTGCATAGTAAGAAGAAGAAGAATTCCAGTGTTTTTCATTCCCAAGTGTAAAGTGCGATTCAATACTGTTAAAAATAATTCCTGTTGATTTCATAAAAACCCTTCTGTCATTACTGAATGAGATTAGGTATGTACAAACTTAAGTCACCCGTGAACAATAATGCCTTTGATCTCTAAATATACTATAAGGTTACGTATAAACAGTTATGTAGATCTTGAGCCCGTGGAGGTGGTCCTATTTATAAGTAAGTTCCCGAAACTCATATTTTCAGATTAATGGTCGTTCCTTCAACTAAAGCAAATAAATAATGATCATGCTGATCACACGCGTGGGGGCTCTTTCTTGCCTAAAATCTCAATGGATGCATGTAGTAAAAGCAACAAAACTCTGCTTTTTCTTCATCCAAGTGCATATTATCCCGTCCATTTTGACGTCTAAATAGCTCCGTGTGTATAAATAATATTACTTATTTGAAATTTCAAATAAAAGCAGGACTTAATTTTGAATGGAGAAGAAATTGTCCTTTCAGAATTGGATCAGCATAAAGGAGCGTCATGCAAAAAAATAATCTCTCTTCCTCCATGATAATGCAGAATTGGTTCATTTTTTCTCATTTGTTTTCTAATCGTCCACTTTTAACTGTCGGCCAGAGCAGAAAGGAGAGAGGGAAGAAAGAGTGGAGTGAATGATAAAGTAAATTTATGGGAAAATTGAGTTGTTTCTTCTTCATCTTCTTCTCTCCGCAGGAACTCATTGATGGTGGTCCACTCCGAAGAACTGGTCCAACCAAAGAAAGAGCAGCCGACAGACTTGATGATGACTAAGTAACTAACAGAACAACGTGGCCAACCTGCGTCCCATTGTTGGCCTGACTTGGTTCATACAGTGTTGTGTTGGTTTTACATTGTGAAACAATTATGGACACAGAAAGGGAGCGAGTGAAAGAAATCATTGTGTGTACAGTAAAACCAACAATGTGTAACAATGTGAATTTCAATTTCCGACTGACTCTTAAGCCACCGTTTCATATTTGAAATTGTGTAACAATGCACTGTACTTTTCCTTGAGGTGATCAAGTAGAAAACCTAAAATCCACCGGTGGTCTAATCCAGAGCTTATCTTCCCCTATCCGACCCCACTTTACTTAAAACTTCCTCGAATTCCTATTCCCGCGATGATGATGATGATTTCCCAATCGCGAGCAATTAGCTTTTAGTTAAAAATTCCAATGGTCCAGTGCAGCAAAGTAAAAATGGTCATCAATTTCTCAGATAAGGTTTTAGAAGCCTTCCATTCACAACAATTTGTGACTTGGTCCAAAAAGGGCCGCGTAGTCACAAAAATTTGAGCGAGATGGACAATTTCTTCATTTCCACTTTACCGACAGAGATAAAGACCACACCAATAATTTGGGCAAACCATCAATTAAGGTCTTGTTACCTCCCGTGAGATGACAGTTTCCAGTTGGCTTCATCATAAAATTATGTGAAATATGTGCCGACCATGGAGAAACGATATATGTATGCATTGGTTGGAAGGAAGGATAAGTATAGAGGAGGTGGTGGGACGACGATTTCGACGACCAGGACGACACACCTGCATCGCTACATGCGAGTAAGAAAAACAACGAGATGATGCTAATAATTGAGGTACTTTGCTCTGGGATGAATGGTGAGATCAATTATTGTTACGACCATGATAATTCCAACTCGGAGGAGAAGCGTCGTTCTTGAAAAGGAGAAGAAGATATAGAATTTTTGTACATGTGTGAGCAAATACATATAAAAATTGGAGTTTTTTTTACTTTTCAAGGCTATAATTGTAAAAATTACTCGTTACTTCGGTTGCCTTTCTCATGTTTTGGATGGGGACAGTTTTTCATGGAAGCTTTTTTTTCTTCGATGAGGCTGGAGAATTGTTTAAGGATGTAGTTCATGGTATTTGAAAAATCTTTGAAAATCGGATCGATTTTGTCCAATTTGGGAAAAATTAGTGGAATAAAAACTTTGAAATAATTCACTTGAGAGCAAATTATTCAATACTTTTCATATCACTTGGTTTCATTTAAGCTTTCCTTTCCTGGGGTTTGGTTTATAACGGGCTAGTAAAAATACACGGGGTTTATATCCAGTGAATAAATAGCTTGTACCAACAAAGACAACAAAGACTCGTAAAATCGCGTCCGTCATCAACCATGTGTTAAAATTCCTGGAAATGTTTTCGAGAACCTTGTGAAATTTTAGCGAAGCTGTAAAAGTGTTTATTTCATTAGCCAAATTTTATTGGGGGAGGTTTAGGAAAAAACAAACCACTTATTATTGCGTCAACTTTTGGGGTAAAGTGCCCTGCCCATGAAAATTCCGTCGTTAAATGTTGTTGCACATTTCCTATTTAACGAACCACGAGCAGGAGCAACAGAATTTTGAGGACATGAACATTCAGTCACCTTAATGATATTTTAAGTAGTCCAGTAAAATAAGTGGTTTCGAAACTTTGCTTGTAAGCAAAATTTATGACTGTACCAAAAGCAATAAAACTTGGTAGACTTTGAGGAATCTGCGTTTCTTGAGAGACGAACCATGTAAACGTGGCGAGGTCAAGGTTGGCACGTAATTTGGTTACTTTTGGAGGAATGCAACAATTGCGGAAAATGTCAGGTTGGAAATTGTCATGAATATTGAAAAAGAAGAAAAGCGTTCTACATAATTCTGGAAAACCAAAAGTTAAATTGAGTACGAGATATTTGGAATTTTGAAGAATCATATAAATGCACGCTTGTTTAATATGTAATGATCAGAGGGCGGTTATGTATTTAATTTCAACTTGTTCATTTGATGACGACCAAACGGCCAAATTTTGTGTCCACAAACTCTTATAGATCACGAAAATTTCAAAATTTTGCCGTTACATATTCCTAGATTTTCGGACATAAATATATTTCCGCTTATATTTGAAAGATATGTAAATATTTATGTAGATATTCTTTAAAACATATATTTGTTTTAAATACTTCAACGAAACATTTTTGCTCAAAGAAATTCGACTACAAATAATCCAGGGCACAAATATTCACAACACAAATTTTGCAAAATTTGTATTTCGTAAATATTTTATCCTTTTTTTGTAAATGCATATCCGCCCTCTCGGCTGTAATAACGAAGAAGGGGTTCATTGCATGGATGAATTTCATGTTGCTGCGATAATCCACTCGAATCCTGGAGGAATGTTGTTTTCTCGTGTCACTAATAACCAATGTTTTTTCATTACGAGATAAATCACAGCAAGTTGTAGGAATGACATGAAACGAAATAAATGAAAATTCAGTCAGGATACATAATTTTCTTTCCATCCGTATATATTTATTCATTTTCACATTTCTCTTAGCCTCGTCATGTTCATGGAGTAGATATCAGTAAGTATGCATTTATGCATGCAGCTGCTTTATATATACTGCTTAAATATCAAGTTTAATTAAATCGTGGCTTTTTAATACTTATGTAAAAGTAGTATGGCATTTTCTATTATTATCAAAATTAATTCAGTTTCTTTTATCCTAAAACTTAACCTGTATTTATAAGCACATACACAAATTATCTTCTTTTCATACAATTTTACAATCTCCTCCTCCTCTTAAAAAATTCGTCCATTAACAATATTTACTACACTATTTTAGTTATAGATGCTCTTTTATATATCACAAGTTTATCATTCGCCATAACCAGTAAAGGAATATGTAGAGTATTAATTTTTAAATGGCAATAATATTCGTAAATTGGTTTAGTAATATTGCATTTTCATGTCCCGTCAAAATAAAAGCAAAACAATATTATTTATTTAATAAGCGAGGAAAAAGTAAGACTTTTAAAATAATTATTAGCCTCTGTCTGCTCATTTTTTTAAGAAATTGTTTAAAAATTCATAATAAACAGGTACTCTTAATATTCCGCGTAACATTGAACCACACTCTCCATTTCATGGATTATATTATTAATGCTACTCTATTTCTATGCTTATTTTTATTAAAAGTAAATTCTTATAACTGACCTTAGATGACTATTGACTGCGGTATTTAACTAATTATTTTACTACTTATGTAAATTAAATAGTTAACAGATAAAATTTTTAATAATTAAAAACAACAAAAATAAAATACTTAGGTATGACAAACGACCAGCACACAAATATACTTGTAAGTTTCACTCTTTTATAATCCGGTTGTTCCTCCAGGTAAAGTTGCAAAAATCACCAAACATTAAAAACCAAGTTTTCCGTATGTCCACCACGGACCCGAACACAAATGGATATGTAGCTGTTGATGTTGACCGATTGCTGAATCGTATCGTCTCGATAACAACATATCAGGCTCCAAAACAGGTCCGAATTCCGACGAGATATACGGAACGAGGTTGACCTCCCCGTGTTTTTAGCTGCAGCCACAACTATCCACCACCATCTCGTTGTAATTCTTTAGAACGATTTTGTCCGAGGAGTCCGTGTAGAGGAGGGACAGGGAAGAATATTTGGTGGGGACGCAACAAGGGGGTGGAACCAAGCCTGGATTCATCGAGTTCACAAGAGCCTGGATTACGGCGTGGTTCGTCGCATTCAAATTCTCAGCCATAGGGAAAGGACATTCGCCAGAGCAGTGGAAAAAATGAGCCCCTGCAATTAAGAAGTAGGAATATATTTAGGAATGGATTTATGTACTGCGTCGCTTTGCTCAATGAAACGTTGAGAATTCACAGCGACTTGGCTGTCATTTCGCTCAGAAGTCGCTGCGAATTCTCAAAGATTTCGCTTGCCCAGGGCGACAATTAAAGTCAATACGTAGCTAAAGGTTGATCCGTACCTGGAGGTGCAACAATCCAATCGTTCCATCCGACATCGGTAAAGTCGACAAACATGTTGTGTCTGGCGCAGAGGTTTCTTCTCTTGTTCTTGTTCCGGTGATTCTTCCTTCGACGTTGTTGCTGGTTTTGCTGAGCGGCTCGATACTGCCGTGAAATTGTTTTTGCATCACGCGTCTTACGACCGGTGCGATTATCGTCGGAATAAGTGAAGAGGACAATCGGTTGAGTGGTAGAAGATTTCTTAGACCTAAAAGTAGAAAAGATACGGAAAAAATTAGCGCATACATTTTTTAATAATTTTAAACTTCAGTAAAAAAAAAAAAAAAAATAGTGGACCACACCAAGATTATTGGGTAGGAACATATTTTTGTATGTACATACGCGTCAATTTACCAGCCTACAGAAAATGCCATCACACATTCACATACGCATCTTCTTTCCATCCCCACTCAATTACCCTCTTCTTCTGTAATCATATCGTACGTATCATCACAATCATAAAGCAAAATGCATGAAAGAATTCATCCCTCGCATCGCATCTCATCTCGTCCAGTGAGAAAGATTCTTCTCGTAGTCTCAGAAAAAAACGATGAAAACAAAAAGTTGACGAGATTCAGTGGGCAATAAGGAAAGGAAAAATATTTTACTTGGTCATGCCAGACTTTGAGTCGTGTCCTGTAATGTAGTGCAGCAGGGGCACACCTGCAGTTAAACTATGTTAAGTAAATTGAGGTAAATCGTAAATAGGTGGACAGCGAGAGCGACAGCAAGACAGGTGTGCATGCATATGTACATACGTAGATAAGAACATTGTAATAAGACAAGTAAAGTACACGGAGGAATGGCTGCACGTACTTTCACAAAAAAACGAAACATTTTAGATGAAAATTCTTTACGCGGCTAAAAAGCTTGGTTTTATTACGCTTCTCCATCGTATATTTTAATGGGTTATATGTGCGTATGCATGCACCTTTTATAAAAGGGGAGAAAAAAGATTAGATACAACATATTGTCAAAATATTTGTTTAAAGAAATCAAAATAGTGCCACGACTAGGCAAGTGTGACCACATTCCTTAATCCTTTTTTGGATTTTATAATTAAAATTTGGTCCGACTAAATAAATCGGTCCGTGTCATGATAAGCCTTTTACTGCTGAGATAGCTGTATAGCTGGCTATTAGCAATTTGTTTATTTGCCTCACGTGTCTGCGTATCTGACACGAACGGTGAAATGATCAAATCACGGAAACAACTAATAGTAATAATAATAACACTGGGCAGCCATGAAACAAATATTTGGTGGTAGAACAACAAAATTGGATCAGAAGAGGAGGATTTTTGCTTTCGGATATGCGCTCGAGTTGACTTCTGAGAAGTCCATTGTTCTTTTTTGTGTTATTATGTGTCGGTGGTGTTGTTGGGTCGAAGCCGGTGCATTTGAGGTGATTCTTTCTTCTTCCTTTTTTAAAAAGAAGCCAACAAAGAACAGAATTTTCGAGAGTGTATATAATCAAAAAGTGGACTGACCCGCAGTACCACCGACGCATTATGTATGTACCAATGGACTGGACCCTCTCGTTTTTGAACTCGAAAGTATATGAAAAAAAAAATTGAACTCGAAAGCATAAGCATTGCATGGCACGGCACAAGAAATGCATATGTACATACGTAGCACGTATTTATTACGTACATGAAATGAATACTCAGCCAACCCATTTGTAAATTGCAGCTTAAAACTCCTGGAAAGCTCTTTTTAATAATACCGAAACTCTCTGGGTTGGTCACGAAACCAAGAATCAAGTTAGTTACATATGTACAAAAACCTGCGGTAGTTGGCAAATACGAAACCAATCGTAAATACGGCAAGATTTGATAACAGATCACCACAAAATGAAGAACTACGTATGCACATACACTTTTGCCAACCAACTAATAAATCTCACCGTATGAATTTTTGACAATGTTAAAAAATATTTGGAATTTCTTTCACGGAATTTTCATCATCTTCTCGTGAAAAGCTGGTCTCTCCACGTTTTACACGCGCATAAACATCTAAACACAAAGATTTTAGCAGTGGTTTGTTTTGATGTTCTTTGATGATGAGACTGGGTACATATTTAATAAGATTTTGGTTGTATAAGAGCACTCAAAAGGGAGTAAAAAGTCTGCTGGAGTTTCTACTCGCTGGAGAATATGATGAGGCAGAAGAATTGAATGGTGGTGAAGTTACCAGACTTGGTGTCGGCATCTCAGAAGAAGAAGAAGAAAAGGATAATCTCGTGATAATGTTTGTAAATTGCATCGTAAAAATGGTATCTTTCACCAAGTAATAAATTCCTTGTGGTTGTAATATAACGTAATTGCAGTGTGCATAATGCTGCTGCTGCTGCTGCCTTATTCCGGCATCATCATCCATAAATTCTTTGTTTGGGAGGAGGATGCTCATCACGTATATAAATTCTTGTGGTTTAGTTACTTCTCCTTTTTCTCTCCTCTCTGGAACAAGAACAAGAAACAATTTCTCCTTCTCTCTCGCTGTAATTTGTGAAGAATCTCTTAAAAGTCGTGATCAACATGATGAAGATGATGATGAATCACTAATTTCGTTAAAATCTTATTTTCATTCACTCTCATTCATCAACCAGCCAACCAACGGACCAACTCTTGTAAAGTAAATGAATCATCTAATTACATTTATTATTGGAGAAGAAGAACATGCCAAAATGGAACGTTACACACCATGAATTTGATTTGATTAGAAAATGACTCGTCTGTCTGGATGTGTGTGGGTTTCGTTCTTTGTGTCGGAAATCTGTTTGACTTTTACAAAATTTTAATGAGTAGCTCTTCTACTTCTTCTAGCCTCCTTAATAAAAATGATTCGTTCGTGGTAGGTATGAATGAATCAGAAGGTGGCACCGGCACTTCGCAGCGATGCGACCACCTCCAAGTAGTTTGAGAATTCGATAAATTTCAAAGAATTGTGTGTGTGTGCTCTCGAAAGATAAATCAAATCAGGAGATGAATGCTTCTTGCCCAACTTCTTGTCCCACACAAAAATGATGATGAAGAGAAAATCTTTTGCCGACTGTCTCAAAATTACGTTGTAATTATAGGCCGAGAAGTGTACTTACTCATTTTGTGTTGGAATGACAGCCGCAACCGCACCCACTTCCGTCCCTTGTGCGGCAGATTTCCCTGAGTCATCATCATCTCTAGAAGAACTCGAGGAGGCGATGGCCAGGTCTCTCTTCACACGAACGTTGTGACGCTTCGTAACTTTCCCTGCGTCTTGTTTCCTCGGAGGAGAAGTGATGGGAACCCCGTTCTGTCCAATGTACACGATTTCTAGCAAAAGTCCGTGATTAATTTTGCGGTTTTTTCCCCACCGAGTGACGGCTGGGAAGACGTCGAACGTCAGATAGAACGTCGTGGTCGTTCCGTTCCGCCGTTTCGATACGTTCACCGTTTTTGAGTCGATGGGTTGCGTGATGGGTTGGGTGAGGTGGAACTGTTTCGGCTTTTTCGACAAAGGGTGCGTCTTCTTCTTGATGATGTCGTGAAGGAGGATTTTCACGGAGACGACTTGGTCCTCATCGTCAGGAGAGGATGACAAGTCCTCTTTGCGGAGGATGAATGGCACTCGGAGTTCGGCTCCGGTTACTTGCTCAGAATCTGGGATTGAGTCCAGATTGAAGTGCAAGTGGTTGTCGTCGTCGTCGTCACCACCGCCAAGCGATGATGAGGTTAAACCTGAAGTTGATATTTAAGAGGAATGTTATGAGATTATTAGGTTGTGAATTTCACTGAATCGAGAGAAAGGAGATAATAATACTAATATTTATGCAATGAAATTACTGAGATGATTCGCATACCGGGTTCTTCAACGTAAAACGTGCGGACAGTGTTGGCCGTCCTGGTATTCCTTCCGGGGAGATTGAGGTTCGTCGTGGGCATCAGGGTTTCATCCCCGTTCTGTTTTTGATACAAGTCCAACAAGTATTTTGGAACTTTGAGCTTCTTCTCGACCGTTTTTTGAGGCCTTTTACTCATGCCGAACAACTTTAGAAATTTCGACTCCAGTCTTTGTAACACTTGGGGTTCCACTGTTCTCGAGATCTCGATGGATTCCTCCTCCTCCTGCCCGTCCTCCTCCTCCTCTTCTCTAGACTGACTTAGTTTTGAATCTGCAATCGAATCGGAGAGAAAGTTGCAAAAAAATGGGGAAAGTGCGAGGATGAGAATGCATACAAAACGTGGCGAGGGAGAGAGCAGTATCTTATCTCGTAATCTTATCTATATTCCTCTTACCTGCTAAAGCGTGCAGCAACTTATCCTGAGGAACTCGATGTAACCAGTTGACTTCCTCCTCCTGCTTAAACCCTGGCACTCTAAGATTACTACTGCTTAACCTATCACCACTAAGATCACTAAGATTAATATCTCTGGTCGTTAAGTCTAGGGCACCCACGGAGGGGAGAATCCTTCTATTCTTATTGAAATGTAGCGTATTTCTTGATACAGTTAAATGACTTAATGCTTGAGGAAGGTCGAGGATGTCACCCATCGAGAGGAATGTGAAGAGGACGGAGAAGGCTCGGACCCTCAACCTCTGTCTCGTTCTCCCCTCCAACAAGCTCCACAAACACTTCATCTCACTTCCTTATTGTTTTTTCTCAACTGTTCTTCTCACTAATTCAGCCTGCCTCCTTGCTAATCAGCTATTACTTATTAGTATATGTGCATATGCATACACGTACTTCCTTCCTCATTCCCTCATAACAACAACCTAACTGACTCCCACCACCGCCGCACCTCCACCAACAATTATGTCAAGTCTCCCATGTAACAGGGACAATCCAGCAGCAATGCGATTCAGTTTTTTGGAACAAGTCGTCCCACTTTTCATCGTTTATAACGAAACGAGTGAGTTGCACTTCACATCACGACACACACCATACGCTAAAAATGTATGTCTATAATGTCACACTGTTGTAGAATACCAGAGAGAAAGTACTTCTTTATTATTATTAAGAAGATGATGATGATGATACTGCAGATAAAAACAACGTGTTATGTTAGCTTCAGTTAGTTAGCGTACGTATGTAAACGACGACGACGGGGACAGTTAGCCAAACAGAAATTGGGCTGACAACGAGCTACGAGAATGATGATGATGTCCTTCGAACGGATGTTCTTCAACTGACTCGAAACTCGATACCTGTTGAAGATGGGATAGGCCGCATCAAACATTATTCTTCTTCTTCTTCTTTGCTCACACAGGTGAACAAGTTAGTTAAGTGAGTCTTCTTCTTCATTTACTGCTCAAAAAGCTGTCTCAACCAAAGCGAGCAATATGTGCGAGTGGTTCGTGGTGTGGTATGGTATTGGTGGTTGGATTTGTTGGGCTAATCCTTACGAGTGAGGCGCATTGTTGCATCGCATTGTCTTCCATTATGGACTTGACTATATTAAGATGTAAAGAAAGAAAGGTGGTCGGTCGTGCAGTGCTTATACGACCAGAGGTACGTACAATACTCACCTGTACTTCTGGGTGGAAAATGGTATACATATTGTGAGTTTATGAGAAATGGAGTGTATTTTACAGCACAGCCCCACCGACCGATAACTTTGTGACATATCTCCCCTGGTCCTGCTGGAAGAAGACGAGTGAAGATGTCCGAGCGAGATGGTTGTGATGATGATGAAAGAGAGATATGAGATTTGGGAGAGATAATATTTTGTAAAAATTACTTTGACAATCTGCTCAAGAATTATGTGCTTATTTGGGAAATGGAGAACGAACCATTTATTTCTTGAGGTTCTCCTTCTAATGGCAGTGCTGCTGGGCTAGCGTCCCGGTGTGGAATTTCATATTGTTCTCCATCTATCCATTTCTCACAATGGGATGGACATGCTCGACGAGTACAGCAGACCTGCACGGACATAATGGTTCTAAAACTGATTTTATTTCAACTTTAACCCAAAAGGACCCTTCATCCTCTATTAGAGAAGCACCACCACCATCACTACCACCCATCCATCTAAGACATGATCACTGCTGCCCTGTCGTAACCTTTCCCTCCAGCAAGATCCACACACGTATGGGAAAGTGAGAGAAGGGTCCCCAAGAAATCGCGTCCTTTTAAATTTGTCTCAAGTTATGCAATCATTGGTGGAAACAATGCTAAACGAATGTACATACGTACAATTACGCCCTGCAGTATGTACATACGTAGGTATGACCTATATCTTGGTTATGCACTTTACGTCAACTTTAACTTTGTCCATGGACGAACCCTGCCCATCACCTGAGACAATTTGAAAAAGACCCTTCAGAAAGAAGCGAATCGTGGCCAACCCACCAACAACAATAACACAAGCTGACATTAACATTTTAACATTAGCGATTAACTTGGAGCAGACTGCTCGGCCCTACAATTTTCTATTCTTGGGAATTTGAGAATTTTTTGGCTGATCCTTATTCCAATCCTCCTATCCTGCCTGCACCGGTTCATCATCAGCAAATGGATGTATGTGCACCGAGTGAAAATAACATTTTTCCTGTAATCTTGCTTAAAACGGGTCCTTCCATACTATAGTTAAGTTACCTAGATATTCCACTTCTTAGATTTCAGATAACCTTTCCCATAGCTTAAGGGGATTATCAGATTTAAGTAAAATCCTAAAAATTGTCATCCAACTCAGAAGCCGTTCTTTCCCCGTAGTGCTGCGGACAGCCCGTCTGCCTGTCCGTCCGTATGAGTAACCTCACCTCACACTGTTTCACTATCGATCGAGTCATCACCAAACTTGTACTTACTTTGTAGCGTGTTTATTAAAGTGTGGACGTGCTAACGAAGTATTAAAATTGATGATTCATACATATCCACGGATAAAAATTTATGACCAAACTTGGTAAATAAAATTTGTTGGTGATCTTGATGACGGTCAAGCTCAAGATCAAGCATCGTAATAATATCCATCCACCACCAGCGTCATGGACGTAATAATAATTCTGCTGGATACATAATTACTGCTATTAACTCCTCCATCCAACAAAATACAACACAGTACACGCAAAAAAACAATGAATATTTGAAATTTTTTCTTCCTCCTCCATGCAACCAACAAAAATCGTGATCTGTCACATTTGACATTGCAAACTGCACGTCAACCGAATTTACATGAAATGTACATCATATGTACATACAACGAAACGAGTGTCCTCATCTCTCCGGAGAATAAATACAGAATATAGCACAACGATACATACATCTCCCAGCCATGGTTAGACCTCTCTCCTTATATAATTTTAAAATACTTCCCTCCATTCCTCCGCCCCAAACTGACTAAAATAACGAGGCAGGCCAGAATACTTATACGAAGCTAATTAAAATTTAAAACACAGGTGAATCGCTCAAGGTACTTTTCTTCCCAAGACAATAACTAATCGTCCATTATGAACCTGTGATTAATAATCTCGCATTCCCTCCGTACTTGCATTCATAAGACGTAGAATTATTATGATGATACGCAGAAATTCTTCTTTGTATTGCCTCCACGTACATAGCTGCGAAGGTATGATAAAGGATTGTGGGGCCAAGCTGTCTAGCAGCCATCCACCAAACCCACCAAACCCAATCCAAAGAAGTATGTAAAGGATTGAATTGAACACTTGACTCTACAAGGAAGATTTAAGGTAGGGCCCACTAATAAGCACTCTCAGGCACGCAGGTAAGCAAAGAACATTAAGTTACGGACCACATTAACATAACGTATTAGCATACAGGACAACACTACATGCGCGAGCGAGGCATGTCAAAATTTAAAAAGGAATTGAGAGAAAAGGTTCCATTAGTGGGAATAGGTCATTAATGGGATGATATACACGAGACAGATGCATGGATGCTAAAGTGAAGTTCATATGCACGTATAACAGTGTGTGTAAATAATAATAATACACTTGAAGATATGACTTACATAAATAGTGAAGGAGAAAATGGGGACATTTTTACGAATCGATTTTTTTTCCTTTATGTAAGCCTTTGTTTTCGTTGTATGTGTGCACCTACCTACATATGTAAATGTGTGTACTGAGGTGTTTCTTCCTGGACCAGCTATTAGGATATTGCCTGTCAGAAAGGCTTTTTAAAAATTAATCGTGTTTTTGTTTACCAGCTCCAGTCCAGCATCAACAAAACAACAGCACACTTCTTTTTTGTACAAAAATGTCGTCAATTTTTTGTCCCTTTACATAAAACTAAATAGCACTTACTTGAACTCCACTTTAATCGAATGAGACGAGACTTTGGGAATAAAACAAAGTTAATTTTATTTCATTGGAGGACGGAGCGGATGATGCATTCCATTCTCCAATCTGAGACCCCATTATTCTCAGCAAAAGACAAACACCACAACATTTACCTTTCCTTCTTCGTACTCAACTTTTATTTCATTTCATTTTACTAGCGTATAAGCCCGTCTCCCGCCGGGCGCGAGCTTGTTTGATTTTCATGAAAATTGAGTGGAATTTTAGAAAACTCCAACCAATTAAATATTTTAATCTATATAATAAGCTCAAATTCTGTCACCGACGGAAGTCAAAGGAATTTGTAAAGAACGTGAAATTGATGATATGAGTTGATGATAGAAGTTGATGATAGGAAAATCAAAATATTTAAGAAATCTAAACAATGCTCATGCCATGCTACATACATATTCTTATGTGGTAATAAATATATGGTCACAACGAATGGATTCAATGATTTTAATCAACTAAGAATATCATATTGTTATACCCGATTCAAAATCTGTTAACAAAGACACGTATGACGTGTTCGACATATGTGACGTTTGACTTGGTCCACACGGTCACGGGTGTGTGGCATGTCAAAGCGCGTGTGATATTATATTCATGCGCAGATTTCAAAATCTGTTCCAGTAGAAGATTTGACTAATTCATCGGAGGCCTCATTCCCTTCATGAGCGGAATGGAAGGGGAACGGATTCCATTGCTTAAATCTACGGAGTCTGCACATGAAGGGAATGGAATGGAATGTGTATAACATGGGCAGCCGATGGGAACATCGAATAATCGCGGGTACATTTTCCCCCTTCCCTCTGTCCTCACCCTTCCGCGGCTAATGTGCATTTTGTCTATCGTTAGGAGTGCCATGTTCCTTATGTAAAGCTGCAGTGAGAGCTGGAAAGGAGTCTTGACAAAATATGAAATAGCAGAAAGGGGAATCCATTCCCTTTCCCTTCATGCAAAGATGTCACCACTTCGTCTGAAGTATATCCAACGGGAAGGGGGAAGGAACGGAACACTTCCCCTTCGCCCTCGTTTTACGACTTCACTGCGGTTCCAGTTCCAGCACACCCCTAACACAGTGATAACCACATCCCAATGGTACAAAATCAAACAGATGTAGTGGCCATTTAGATGCGCGACCCCACAAACAGATAACACCCAACACTGGGGGTGTAACCACTTTCGATAGGCAAACTCCTGAGCTAATATTCTGCATCCCATATTCCTTTCAGCATAACGATAACTGTATACTCCACAAATGAAGGGAACGGAATTCCATTCCCCTTCCCTTCCATTGACGTGAAAATTTCACTACTGCGCCTGAAATATATCCAAGGGGAATGGAAGAGGAAGGGAATTCCATTTCTTAATGTGCAGCCGAAGTAATCTATCTTTAAATCTAATATGAATATGGTCTACCCATGAAGGGAACGGAATCCGTTCTCCTTCCCGTCATCCATACATAGCGAAATTTATGTCACTGGTTTCGGATCTGGCCTGAATGGGCCTTAACGGAACAGAATGTTCCTTAAGTATACGGAACAAAGGAACTAATGTCCCTTCGGAAAGTGACTTCACCAACATTTAACACCCAGCACTGGGATAATAGGCAAATATAAGTGATAATGTCTGGCATACCCCTTCCCCCCTGAGCGATAACCACATCCCAGGGGGGCACACCCTCGCTTCCCCCCAGCAGAGCGATAACCATATCCCATTGGGCACACCCTCGCTTCCCCCCAGCAGAGCGATAACCATATCCCATGGGGCACACCCTCGCTTCCCCCCAGCAGAGCGATAACCATATCCCATGGGGCACACCCTCGCTTCCCCCCAGCAGAGCGATAACCATATCCCATGGGGCACACCCTCGCTTCCCCCCAGCAGAGCGATAACCATATCCCATGGGGCACACCCTCGCTTCCCCCCAGCAGAGCGATAACCATATCCCATGGGGCACACCCTCGCTTCCCCCCAGCAGAGC